CTGCAAACAACAAACACAAGGCAGGGAGGTGTTTAGGGATCCAAGCACGTCCGTTCCCGCGCTGCTGGACACGACAGCCATTGACCATTGTGTGGGACAGCTTTGTGCTGTCACCGTTCCCATGGTGGAGAAATGCCGGCCCTGTCCCTGGCTCATTGGCATTCAGAGCGTCAAGCGCTGGGAATGGCTGGGGGGACGAGGACAATGGGTGGGACTATGGCCAGTAATTGTCACTGTGTGTGGGGGGGGAGGGGGGAGGTGTATTCTGGGTGAGTGGGTGTTTGTAGCGCCGTAACCAGCCCAGCACCCGCTGTGACCGAACTCTGGACGTTCAATCATTGTTTAGGGAAAAAGTTATCTATTTCATGGTCCAACCCTTTTAGTAGCGTTGACAAAGCTGCAAGCCAGTTCTGCTCACACAGCCTATCAGGTCATTACACACTAGGTCAGCACATATCAGGTCATTACACATCAGGTCAGCACGTATTAGGTCATTACACACCAGGTCAGCACATATCAGGTCATTACACATCAGGTCACACACATATCCGGTCAGCACACAAAAGGCCAGCACAAAACAGGTCAGCACACATTCCAGACTTACAAGCCCAGAACGCCGTACAATGCAGGATATGAACTCAACTAATTGACCTCAGTATTGTATGGAGCAGCCGTGTTATGTCAAATGTCAATACCTCATAAATGGCGTCATTAGAAAGTAAAGCGTGTACATTTCGGTCAAATGTCAATACCTCACAATTGGCGTCATTAGAAAGCAAGGCGTGTACATTTCGGTCAAAAGTCGATATCGGCAGCACCACATAAACAACATTCTTAGAAAGCAAGAAGTGAAAACTAAGGTTTTATTCTGTGCAAGTAAACAGCTGGACTTAGAAGTCACTGACGCAAATCTTGTATTGAAGTGGGTAACGGATACGATTTAACCTCGCATGTTTGTTTGGCTTAAGCCATACAAATCAATGAACTATTAATCTCATGGTAACATTTACATCTTTACTGCAGTAAAGCACAGTTCTGGGCCCTTTGATGAAAAATGTAAATGTGTTGCATGATTAAGAATAGTTTGCAGGTGGGCTGACCATCTGACCTCTACGACTGGACCTACATGCACCTAGTGGGCTGACCATCTGACCTTTACTACTAGACCTAAATGCACCGAGTGGGCTGACCTATACCACTGGACCTACATGCACCTAGTGGGGTGACCATTTACAAAACAATTATTGATGACAAATGCAAGTATTTAGTCAACAGATGAAAGATATTTCTGGAATCGATTCACGCTGTGCACCATGGGTTGTATGTTTTCATCCTTAAGTTATAATAAGATAGACGTACGCATCGACCACTCAATGCACGTAGGTATCGACCAATGAATGAAAACAGCAACGATTTAGTCACCATTGAGGGACTACTGATAGAGACCAGTGGTTGGACCCACACATTTGATAGATGCTCCTTGTTTACATTCAGATCCTGTCTGGAACCAAGATGCCAGTTTTAAAAGCCCAATAAGAGTGGAAGAAACGCTTACCTCTGCTGTCTCCCATAGCCTTGTCTTCGTGTGATAGACTTGTCACCACCAGCTTGTGTTCAATGGTCCCGCCACTTCCATTCATTTTTATTTTACTTGACTTAGGTTTATTCCATGATCGGACCTCGAGGGTCGAATCAGATCAACTACAGTGTGTAGTTACAGGTCGAATAAGATCAACTACAGTGTGTAGTTACAGGTTAAACCAGTGACACAGCCTTTAGTGAATTGTCTTAGATATTTACAAGCTAGATCATAGACTATCTGTCAACACTTCTATACCAAATAATAAGCGCGAAGTTTAAAAATCAATTTAATATCTTTACCTAGTTATATCTGGAACAAAATTTCACCAATGGAACAACTATGCAGGTATAGAAAGACAGCAATATCGACAGCATGCCGACAGTATCTGCATGTGTGAGCTATAAAACACACTAACTAGACCAATCAGTCGAACGTTAAAAATAGCTCCATCGCTACAGCTGCTAAACGGATCATTCCTCTGCACCATTTATTACACATATCGTATTTACGCAAAGTAATCAATTCATCATTTTAAAAACGAAGGCTGCAGTAAGCCAAATTATAACCTCGCCTGTTATAATGGCATGTATCATTGATCGGTTAGTTATTTGGTTGTGCTTTAAACTAGTTAAATAGCTAGTCTACTGATGGTAACTGTCGCTTGGTTTAATAGCAAGTCTAGTGGTGGAAACTGTCGACTGGTTAAATAGCAAGTCTAGTGATGGTAACTGTCGCATAGTTAAATAACAAGTTTAGTAGTAAATGTCAACTGGTTAAATAACAATTCTATGGATGATACTTGACAATAGGTTAAATATCATGTTAACTGGTAATATGGTTCATTCAATACAGCCTACAAAACGTGGACACTATTAGTATATTCAACACAATCTCCGGAATGAAAACACCATGAATCTACCATCACCAGCATCATAGAACGTCACAATAATTTATATCGGTTATTATTTGCACACTGGCAGCTCCATAATGACCTTGACCTAATATTTGTAACGGATTCTTGAAATTCCCCACCGGCCGCCAATATTTGAGCACACAACACACACACCAACACACACACGAACACACACGTTTCTCAACAATAAGGTTCAAGTAAGACTTGACCAGCCAACACACACACCAACACACATGTTTCTCAACAATAAGGTTCAAGTAAGACTTCACCGGCCAACACATCCGTCAGACAAATATGACAGCTTGACAATCAGGGGCGGTCACTTGTCTGCTGAATATGGAAGTTGTTTAACACAGCAGGTAGCACGTATAACATCACACAAGTCTTAAACACATCAGGTAGCACGTATAACACCATACAGGTGTTGAACACAGTATAAAGCACCTATGACACCCTAAAGGTGTATTACACAGCACGAAGCACCTATGAAAACTTAAAGGTGTTCAACACATAATGAAAGCACCTATGACACCATAAAGATGTTTAACTCATCATAAAGCACCTATGACACCATAAAGGTGTTGAACACATCATGAAGCACATATGAGACCATAAAGATGTTTAACACATAATGAAGCACCTATGACACCATAAAGATGTTTAACAGCGTGAAGCACCTATGGCACATTAAAGGTGTTAACGCAACAGGTAATACCTATGACACGGTGATTACTGATGTCTCTAAGAGTACAACCAACTCCAGTATGACTGTAAAAACCAAAGTCATGACTGGAATAGTTAACAGCGGTAGACTGGCGCCATCAAGCGTAAAACCCAAACATTTTTTGAATATCTGTTATTGTTACACAAATCTCTCCATTCAGACGCTCGATTTAGTGGATCATGTTGGGGGGGGGGGGGGAGATTTACTGCAGGAAACTGTATGACGAATCGAAAGTTCACGGGGTGACTGCCAGTCACTAGAGGAGCTTGGTACACGCATGCTATGGGCGTCTTGGATAGACGCTGAGATTTTTTAGTTCCCTGTCGAATGTGAAGGTTCATGGTGCAAGTGGAGTAGAGTTTACCTGTTTCTGTGACCTCTGCATATGAAGGGGTAGTGTGGTCAGCACTAAGCCCTAACGTGGGTCAGGTACCCATCAGCGCTGGGTGGACTCAGTAGTGCTCTACAGATTTGAACCCAGGTTCGAACTTTCGTGTTAACAATAGTGTCTCTACCTTTTGATCACACTGTCCGAGCTTGGAACATACATGTTATGTAAGCTTTATCGTTACAGATAAGATGCTTAGTATATGTTGTTTGTATATTATACATCACGGCAACAGTATAGGTTCAGTTTATAGCGCACACAAAGTGACTCATACGTTTACCCAGATGGTTTAACACTAACACCGACATAATGGTTGATGAAAGATGAGGGTATCACAACATGACCTGGAGTTAATGAGGTAGTGATGGCAGTTCCAACACTATGAACTGTAACAATGTGTAGCTGATGCAGCGAAGTGGACGACACAAGAGATGAGCGTACACAATCCATTCACATCATATACCCTATATATAGTCGTCGGTTTTGTTATAGCCTTGGACAGTCTGTGAACAACTAACAATTGGGACATGGCTGAACAGTTCCAGTCAGCGACACCGTCACCAAAGTCCCCCCCCCCCCCCCCCGTACATCCACACCCACAAGTACAAGTTTTGTTTTGTTTTGTTGACGGGCTGGGGAAATACCTGGTGTTTGTATCATCGATGTAGTACCGGTTCACATTTTTGTCACATGATTCGCACAATTTATAGGGGAACAATAGGTAGAATAGGCCTGTGTAATACCATCCAACCTAGCATTAGCAGACAGGATATTGATCTACCAGGGTACAGTTGCTCATAACTCACTTCCTTTTCTAATCTGGTGTAGGTTTTCTTACACAAATCTGATACAGACGGATTTAGACGGCAGATTACAGATTCTATTTTGTTTGATAGTGTTTACTTGATGGTAAAACGACTGGTTTGTTTTATGGCAGCTTAAGGGGGTGGGGGGGGGGGGGGAATTATTTTGTTTTATTATTTATGAATGACGTCACCCAACATGGCTAGGCCCAGATTTATTGTGACAATTCACAAAGTCGGGCCAGGGTGTGGAGATAAGAACAATTTACAGCATATATTTTTGTGCATTGTTAACAATAGTGATAAACACGTTTATTTCCGTTTATAATATAGGAGAGGGATCTCATGTTCTTGTGACGATGTGTGATATAAACAAGGGGGGGGGCAGGGTGGTGAGAGGTGTAAACATCGATTAATCTGGGTGACATTATTTAAAGACGACTCGTATCCAGTGTTTCTTACAGACTTGTCTCCGGGAGAAGGGGGGGGGGCAATTGAAATTTTCGGGGGTTCTATATAAAATATATTTGCCCCCCCCCCCCTCCGTAAACATGTCTGTATCGTTTACTTAAAGAAGCTGAAGTACTCACTCTGAAGCCTGTCAACTCCGTTAACAATGAATCCATTCGAGACGAGCGTCTTGTCGATGTCAGCAGGTCTGGTCTGGTAGGGCAGGAACTGGTCCCCGATGTAATCCTGGTGGAGTGAGGCCAAACTGGACGTGTCCAGCTCCTCACTGGGGTGGATGGTCACACTGTAGTCAAACGTGCCTTTCTGCTTGCTTCTAGAGGCACAGGACAGGGAGCCGCCCATGGCTCGGCTGATGGACACTAGACTTGTATGTTACTGCCAGATAGTCCAGATCTGCTTCAGACAATTGGTGGAGGTGTGGTGTCTGGTAGAGGTGGTAGGTACAGGCCTGGTATACATCTACTGGCGGTGTAGACAGATGTTAGGTGCTGATGGCAGTGTACACAGGTGTTAGGTCCTATTGGCAGTGTACACAGGTGTTAGGTCCTTCTGGTAGTGTACACAGGTGCTAGGTCCTGCTGGTAGTGTACACAGGTGTTAGGTCCTACTGGTAGTGTACACAGGTGTTAGGTCCTACTGGTAGTGTACACAGGTGTTAGGTCCTTCTGGTAGTGTACACAGGTGTTAGGTCCTACAGGCAAGGCACACAGGTGTTAGGTCCTGCTAGTAGTGTACATAGGTGTTAGGTCCTGATGGCAGTGTACACAGGTGTTAGGTCCTATTGGCAGTGTACACAGGTGTTAGGTCCTTCTGGTAGTGTACACAGGTGCTAGGTCCTGCTGGTAGTGTACACAGGTGTTAGGTCCTACTGGTAGTGTACACAGGTGTTAGGTCCTACTGGTAGTGTACACAGGTGTTAGGTCCTATTGGCCGTGTACACAGGTGCTAGGTCCTGCTGGTAGTGTACACAGGTGTTAGGTCCTATTGGCAGTGTACACAGATGTTAGGTCCTTCTGGTAGTGTACACAGGTGTTAGGTCCTACAGGCAAGGCACACAGGTGTTAGGTCCTGCTGGTAGTGTACATAGGTGTTAGGTCCTGATGGCAGTGTACACAGGTGTTAGGTCCTGCTGGCCGTGTATACAGGTGTTAGGTCCTACTGGTAGTGTACACAGGTGTTAGGTCCTTCTGGCAGTGTACACAGGTGTTAGGTCCTGATGGCAGTGTACACAGGTGTTAGGTCCTACTGGTAGTGTACACAGGTGTTAGGTCCTGATGGCAGTGTACACAGGTGTTAGGTCCTACAGGCAAGGCACACAGGTGTTAGGTCCTGCTGGTATTGTACACACGTTAGGTCCTGATGGCAGTGTACACACGTTAGGTCCTACTGGTAGCGCCCACAGGTGTAACAACTTGAGACAGCTAGGTGCAGGTTGACACTCACAACAAATACACAATATTAAACTCCCTTGTGCAAACCTGTCAATAAAATAATGATTTTTTTAACAATGTTATGGCTTTTATCACAATGAAAAAAATAATTTCATTTATTCCACATATTGTATAGACACGCCTACATTACAAATATTGGGAATCTCCAAACCAATCTAACTTTATTTTTAAACAATGATTTCACAGAGCACAGTGACACCTCCCCACCTATACAACACCACGTGACCCAGCAAGTCCTACCACACGACTGTAATGTCACAGAAAGGTGTATTGTTCTAACAAAACCTGCCGCGTTACATGTACAGTTTTAAGATGATAAAATCCTATTGTTGACATGTGCCCTGGTTACCTCACATCAATACACCTGCCGAGGTACATGTACAGTTTTAAGATGATAAAATCCTTGTGTTGACATGTGCCTTGGTTACCTCACGTCAATACACCTGCCGAGGTACATGTACAGTTTTAAGACGATAAAATCCTTGTGTTGACATGTGCCTTGGTTACCTCACGTCAATACACCTGGCGAGGTACATGTACAGTTTTAAGATGATAAAATCCTTGTGTTGACATGTGCCTTGGTTACCTCACGTCAATACACCTGCCGAGGTACATGTACAGTTTTAAGACGATAAAATCCTTGTGTTGACATGTGCCCTGGTTACCTCACGCCAATACTCGATCTACAATAGACGTATAGAGAAGTCCAACAGGTTAATCGAAGTCACTTTAAAAACAGCAAACTTAGCTCATCCAGTTCGATATGAAACACATCTAATCAAATGATTTAATTAACACACTTGTTACAGTACACACGAGAGTCCAGTATGTAGCACACGACACACATTGAAGAGGCGAGTCCTTACAGAAGCCCAGCTAAATCCCAATGGTAACCCGACTCACAGCTATTCATCACTGAAGGACCCCAAACATTCCTCCAACCCCCCACCCCCACCCCCCCCCCACCCCACGGACTGGGTGACTCACACTGTCATCAAGATGTCAGTCCATCATCAAAGACAACATCGGCCACGGGCGCCGTGTGAAAATTGATTGGTTTAACTTTGTGAAATGTACGGGGGTGGGGGCTGGGTGGGTGAGGGAGGAATGAGGCCATTTTGTGAGGCTAGGGACAAAAATAGGGCAATGGTGGTCAAGGTTAGTTGCCAGACTTGATCCCTTGAGAAATGTCCGAGGACCCGCTGTTGTGTGTGTCAGTGGTGGGGAAGGGGTGGCTAGATGGTGTGCAACAAGTCGGTACACACTGTACGGCTTATAACCTTAACGTTGACTACAACTACTACAACTAAGTATGTAGACTTTAACACATTAATTTATTGTGATGACAACACAAAAATGAATAGGTAAACAAATAGCATATGGAACGTAATGGCACCTCTATAAGTTCATGAAATAACAATCTTTTTTTTTTAATTTAAATAAAGCAAATTGTTGCCCCACTAAATTTTTGGATATGGTTAAAAAAAAAGTTCTAATCCGCAAATCAACAAAAAAAAATTAGAAAAATTAGAAAAAAAAATCAATAACTCACATGTGTTAAGATAAGACTGAATGTAGGCACATTGTAATGTAAGTTGACACCGGAGTTAAGGTAGCACAACAGCCGTTAAAATAATACAACTTGTAAAGGACAACAAAAGGACAGGGGTACAACTGTCTTGTGCTGCATTCAATCAGCTGTGTGTGGGGGTTGGGCAGGGAGTGGGGCTGAGAGGGGTGTTTGGATTCAACAGTCGATTGAATGGTGCAACCAAGGCCAGGGGAGGGCCGGGCAGGAAAAAAGGGGGTGATGTTGAGTGAGAGGTGACCCGACCCCGTCAGAGCGGGGATGGATTAATGACCTCCTTAAATCTTCAAGTTTTTAAAGGGCAGCCAGCAGGATAATTTACTGCTAGACAAATACAACAAGAAATTAGCGCTATATGGGCGTGCTGCCATGTAACCAAAATACAAAAACATACAATATGGTAAGACCTATGCTACCTAATTACAACAACATACAATATGGTAAGACCTATGTGGCAAGCTACCTCAATACAATCTAAGCTTTGTGTGCTGGTGGCTGGTTATAAAACAACAACCAACAATAGACGAGAGTCATGCTCTCCCTACATCTTCACCACTCTCAACATTCCACTTTGTATAGCTCTATGACTCTCCCACTTCAGAGATCCAATACTTGTGTTTACATTGACACGGAGCTGGGTGCCAGAGAAGACAAGAGAGTACAGTGAGAAAATAGAAGAAAGGGAGAATGATCGAGAGAAGAAAGAAAGAAGAAGAGAAAAGAGGACGAAGGAAGAAAAGAGAAGAAATGACGCTTGATATAGAGAAGAAAGGAAGAGATATAAGAAGAAAAGAAAGAGAACGAAGGAAGGAAGAACAGAAAGCACATAAAGGAATGAAGACCGTCGTTTTACGCTTGATTGGTAATGTTTTTTTCAACAGGCTATTATTTGAGATATGGCGGTAATAACGGGCGCATGGTTGGGGAGGGAGGGAGGGGAGGAAGATTAATGGTTGGGCGTTGCTAGAGACTTTAGTCGTGTCGGAAGTTGCTAGAGACTTTAGTCGTGTCGGAAGTGGCTAGAGACTTTAGTCGTGTCGGAAGTGGCTAGAGACTTTAGTCGTGTCGGAAGTTGCTAGAGACTTTAGTCGTGTCGGAAGTTGCTAGAGACTTTAGTCGTGTCGGAAGTTGCTAGAGACTTTAGTCGTGTCGGAAGTTGCTAGAGACTTTAGTCGTGTCGGAAGTTGCTAGAGACTTTAGTCGTGTCGGAAGTTGCTAGAGACTTTAGTCGTGTCGTGAGTTGCTGTGCACTTCAGCAGCTTATTCCTGTAGGAACCGCATATATTGTGCTGATCCCACTCTATACCTGCTATAAAACCCAACATTACCCACCAGTCCCTGTGACGCACCCACCTCAGCTGGTAGTGACACGCCGTTACGTAAACAATAAAATGCGAACTTGTCAAGACACAAAGTCATCACAGCGTCGACTAGTTGTATCTGCGTCATGTCTAGTACAAACTAGAAAACTGGCTAGCCATATCTACGTCATATAAGGTACAAATAAACAACCAGCTAGCCATATGTCCATCAACACACTACTTAAGTGTCCAGCGCCACGCCCATTCATTGGTCTAACTTATAATTGGTGTTACCATAAATAGCCATGGCCATTGCTCGCGGTGCACGTGACCAGGAATGTTATATTTAATGAGTCGTGCTAATCATTAAGTTGTGTCTACATACAAGTAGACACGGGGCATCAGAAATGTTATATTTGATGAGGCGTGCTAATCATTAAGTTGTGTCTATAAGCAGACACTGGTTATGAGGACAGTCTCACACAAACCCACTAAAACAGTGGCAAGATAGGGTAAGTAAAAGATGATATAAGATATAGCAACAATGTCTGTCCGCGGTAAGTTACATTTCCAGCCTTCCTATACTGAAACAATTGTTGACAAATAAATAGAAGATCTAAAGACAACAGAGGTAGGAGATTGACGTCCATTCGTCAGCTGAGATGTATGGCCATCGATGACATTAGATGGCCCTTAGTCAAGGCTGAGGCCATCACAAGACCATGAGTGGTCAACTTTTATTCCGACTGGATGGAACTATTCGATTAGTATCTACCGAGGCGCAATAATGGCGGACCAACATGATCAATATTGGGAAAACTCGGGGCGATAAGGGGAAGTAAATCAACGCTTTAGCCAGTTCACGTCCTCCCTACATCATTGACGCGAATCTACGGGGAGGTGATGGACAAAATAATAGCAAGGTATCGGCCATAGCTCATATCTACTGTAAAGAAAGTGGCCATCTTGTAAAACAATGTTTATAATAACATGGAATCGAACTGTTTAGTAATCAAAATGAGAAGCCGGCTACAAGTTTAGGTTTGTAAATAGCAACCTAACCTACTTAAAGTATTGGCATGTGTAATCTTAAGGACTATAACCTGGATTTACTAACCAATGTTTTCAATACAAACAACAAAAGCTAGACAAAAGACATGTAGCAACTTACGGTGTTGGGCTGAAGCACAAAGTCAAGTGGCGTCAACTCCTTCAACCTGACTAACCTACCGTTACACATCCGCACGTAATAAATCACAGGCCTACCTAAGACAAACATCTATTATCAAGTTCAGTAAATAAAGAACGCCCGTCTACCCACTTGATCCAAGTACAACGTATTTCCTGGGATGTGTAGACCCCTACGGCAGGTATGAGTAAAGCAAGTGATTCGAATGGAAGACATAAGGAAGATAGTTATTTACGTCGGCCCATCAGCCGGCTATACATCAGATAGAGTTGAGATCAAACACGTCCTGCGCTTGTTGACTGACTAGTTTGTGTACAGTTACCGTAGGTCGAAGCGGGTTAATTCAATTTATGATCTAATCAAGAGTCATCAGTATAAATCATAGCAGTCGCTCTCAATACATGCTTCGTTACTTACACGTAAATACACTATGTACCAAGGTGATGTAATTAAGAGCGGGCGTAGGAGGATGGGTGTGGACATTTCTTAAATATAAGAAAAAGAAAAGAGTGTGCATTTAATATACCGCCATAATGTACCACACTACAATACCACATTTCTACAAGTTACACAGATATGCACCGGGGCAACAGAACTCATATTAAAAATGTCATCTTGATTATTTCTGTCATTGTTTTCAACTTCTAGCACTTGGTTTGGTTAGTGAAATTCATTGTAGAATCCACAACACAATATACAAGATACATTTTAAAAATGTAAAACTGGACTATATTAAATATGTATTCACGGCACGGTGCACGATACTTGAAAATTTCTGCATATTTTATGGATGTGTACCTGACGTGTGTAAACACAACCTTGTGGCACAGACGTCGGAGAAAGATTAGGATTATATCAGATTATAACAGAGAGCTGATATCAGATATAACAGCAAGGTGATAACAGATAGGCTGATATAACAATCTTTCCCACGGTGACTATACAACATCTACCTGTTGCGGTAGCTCTAGTCTAGTCCGACACTCGAACATATCACGACACACCTGCAACAAGCGACACACCTGCAACAAGCGACACACCTGCAACAAGCGACACACCTGCAACAAGCGACACACCTGCAACAAGCGACACACCTGCAACAAGCGACACACCTGCAACAAGCGACACTCGAACATATCACGACACACCTGCAACAAGCGACACTCAACACGACACACCTGCAACAAGCGACACTCGAACATATCACGACACACCTGCAACAAGCGACACACCTGCAACAAGCGACACACCTGCAACAAGCGACACTCAAACATATCACGACACACCTGCAACAAGCGACACACCTGCAACAAGCGACACTCAAACATATCACGACACACCTGCAACAAGCGACACTCAAACATATCACGACACACCTGCAACAAGCGACACTCAAACATATCACGACACACCTGCAACAAGCGACACTCAAACATATCACGACACACCTGCAACAAGCGACACTCGAACATATCACGACACACCTGCAACAAGCGACACTCAAACATATCACGACACACCTGCAACAAGCGACACTCGAACATATCACGACACACCTGCAACAAGCGACACTCGAACATATCACGACACACCTGCAACAAGCGACACTCAAACATATCACGACACACCTGCAACAAGCGACACTCAAACATATCACGACACACCTGCACAACAAAGCTATAGAGCAAAAAAATAATTCTTGGAATTCCCTTTAACATTCACCTAAGACACGGGTTCATTATTTTACCCTAAACGTAAACAGCCAATTATCTCCAAACTAAAGTATCCTAGAGAGTTAATACTTACGATTTTATATTGACATGTCACTGATATGAAATTAAGTACCGTATAAATATAACTACACCGATAGTATAACGTGAAGCAGCATCCAATTAGTCGACAGAAACATCAGCAACTTGACACAACATCAACAGCCGACACCTCTAGATGGAGATGATGTTATCACCCTCACGTCCAGATTACATCTCAATAAACTGATTAAACCACTTGACAAGTGTCATTAAGTCAGACATCTAATAATAACTCACACCACTGCAATCTTCTCTCGACACTTAGCGATACGTGAGCGATATAAGAATCAATACACTAACTTGTACAACACAGAGACAGCTGAATGAAATCGGCTATTTCCCCAAGCCGGATCAATGGATGATTGCATTAGCAAATTGTTCCTAATGATCGATGGCTTATCGAGGCGATCCACGAGAGGCAGAGTGTTGACTTAGCGAGGGTTCCCACAGTCTACCGCCGGTGCGTGAAATAGCTGGTCAAGGAACAAATCCCACACAGCACGAGAAAGGAACAATGCACCTCCCAGACGTGTCGGGAGATTAAGACTAAAGGAGTTAGTACAGGTGTGCTATAACACCGGCAGGTCGGGGATCCCAAACACCGACACAAAACTAGGGCAAGGTTCACGCAGGTAACTTCATTGATTGAAATCATGTTACCGGTAACAATCAGAAGGTAATTTCACGGCAAGGGGGGATACTTTCTTAAAGCTGGGCCCACAGATGGTGGGCGTGGACACGGACAACCCGAGGTGGGTGTGTGTGTGGGGAGGGGGGGGGGGAGAACAGAAACAGCTAGATCTAAATCCACCGCAGAATTAGTTGAGTCCATAAACGAAAACATCTCGAAAATGGCATTGTTATACGACGTAGAAAATGTTACCATAAAGAATGTCATGCGTTTAACTTAAGGAAAAGAAAAGTGTGTGGGGGGGGGGGGGGGGGCAGTAGATCTTGCAATCGTTTTTTTTTTTTAGCTCAGTGGGGATTATTAGACCTTCAGCCGTAAGCTTTAACGAGTAATTTTTTACGCTATTGATCGATTGTTCTGTATTAATGAGAAGTAATTAATTATCTGCGGCGTCACGTGGGATAGGGGGAGGGTCTGGTAGAGTGGATTCTTGTAACAACACTGGAAGGGGGAGAGATTGTATACAGACGCTTGGCAGTATTTGTGTGAGCCGTTGTGTCAAAACACAGGAGCAAACATGTAGTGATGTGTTCACGTAAGTTGTGGTAAAAGGTAGATAAGCTGGTGGTTACAGCATCTGCAGATGGTTCGCAGACTGAAGACAACGCCTTAATGCTGGCGGGTGGGGAATACTGTTTAATGTTATCCCATTGACCGAATATCTGCTGATTCATAAAGAAGTTCTGGATCAGGCTAAAAGGTTTGGAGCTAAAAGGGTCTCTACAGATGAAAAGGCTGTCTTATTGGATCCGTGCACATAGTTCACACCACTGTTTATATCTCTTGCTGCTAGTTCTAATGCTCTGATTGTATTTTGGGAGTTCCGTAAACTGTCTTCTTGCAATTCTCGTGGGGGCGGAGGCCCAGTTCGGGTGGGAAGGACGGGGAGGGGGAGGAATGGCAAGTGCTACAGTGAAGTAGCTTTACCAATATTGATCCAGGTACCATTTTGTGATCGAATTCTCTACATACCAGCACAACTATCGGGCACATTAACAATCATATTACAGCAACTATTTTCAACTATTAGATGTTTGTTTAACATCCAAGTACGGAGCCGCATTAAGTTGAACAATAACAACAACAAAGATATAAGTATAAGATGTCATATTTTAAAGGGATCGAGGTTTATCATTTTTTTTATAACAACAGAGCCAATCTTATATTTAACTTCACAACTCGATGCTTCTATGTTGGGTAGTGGGCTAATAAAGTTATACCACGCAAACAATATAATGTTTCGCCATTTGATGTTTCTATGCTGAGTAGTGGGCTAATAAGGTTATACCACGCAAACAATATAATGTTTCCCCATTTGTTTTGTTGTTTCTATGTTGTAAAGTAGGCCTGTCAAATGACACCACAACAACCGTCTAATGTTTCTCCCCCTAAAATCTAGTAAACACGATCCTTGCTGGTTTAAACCCCACCAGTCCTGTAGCTGGTTGTCACTGGCGGTCTGGTATTTGTATCGTCCCCCAACTTAAATCTCACAATGACTTAACTAGACCTCGGCTCTGCAGACCTTAACACGGTGCCCCAAACAATGTGCATTGTTCTAATGCCAGTACACGTATCTTAAAGAGGGTTCCAAGACACGACATTCGAAACACTCTTAAGACAAGCCCTAGACACAACAAACGGCACCTAACGCCTGGCCCTAAGAGGGCAGACAGACCGGAACCAGGAGAGAAGAGATCTACTCACATGATACTCCATCTCCAGGCGAAAAGTTCCAGAACTAAAGTGACGTATTTCACATTTTTATACACACCGTTTATTGACACAGGCTGGCTTAAAATGGTGATGTAACTGAAGCTTGATGCCGGGCAACACGTGACATGTAAGACCGGTCTATACGAGGGATGTTTGTTGTAGCAAACCTAGCCTGGATACAGCCGGGCCCGATAGTAAACAGCCCACGGTATCCTCGTGGGCTGTTGACATTCCGCGGAGCATGAAAGCACAGGGAGGAACCTTTCCCCACCCCAGCTGTTGTTCTCACACACACACCGCAGTCATCAGCACCGGGGCACTATTTCATATCCCCACACACTCAAGTGTGGGAAGCGGCAACCTGACAAATGTTAGAATAATACGCGCTGTCTTTGTTCCGTGGAATGTCTAGCACCACTTCCCTCTATTACACCGACAGCTCCCAATCGCATGGAGATGTTATAGAAATATGCCGACACGTCTTTTTATTCAAATAAAGTACTTTTTATATAACTCGGTGTATTTGTGATATGTGTTGATGCTTTCGTTTCAGCAAGCATGTTTACATAGAATTGGCCCCATTATCATTATCTAGTCTTTATCATAGCAAAACAGCAGCTAGACATCTCAAGTCAAACAGAACTTATCCATCAAGATGTACCGATGTGTCGTTACAGAGTTCTACCCTTGTATATGCTCCATTAGACACTTGCCAGCATCTCGACAAGGTTGTTATCCCCACAGCCGCGCCGTTTAAACCATTACAAACCAATCCATAAGGTGAGGGCAGGGGGGGGGGGATCACTCACACCACAGTATCATCAGAGAATGGGAATAACACACTCAACGTGTTTGCCAAAATGGCAATGCTCTATTTATATTGTCGACATACCTTTTGCACCTGGATTTCTCTGCTCAGGTAAAATCCCCAGAGATAGAGATCTTAATCTAAAATAGTTTCACAGGAATATCCGGAGAAGAAATATATAAATAATTCGAGATGCAACAATAGGTTTTCGTGTGTCAAAAGTTCAACTTGTGCCAAAGTATTTTGTAACTGTTACGTTGGGGGGGGGGGAGGGGATATACAAAATATATTTAAAGAAATTACTCGTCTGGCTTAGAATCATAACACAAAAACTAACACAAAAACTAACACAGAATCGCGTTTTATCTTCTCACATAATATAGAACCATCTATAGAATTCTTAAGTAAAAATGCTAGTATAATTATTAAAGAAAAGGACTAACTTTCAAGGCATCCACGTGTTACACAAGTCAATATAAGAAAACAGCACAATATCATGACAGCAACACTCCAATTAAAGAGGCTATTGATTATCTATCTGTACAAATGGCACCGGCTGGCCTAGTCTAGAACTGTTAGTCTCACTCACTCTGGCCATTGACCCAACCTTTGTATAACCTCCCTTACCTCCACCTCTCCCCCCCCCCCTTTCAACCAGCAACAGACAGCAGTAGACAGCCCTTCCCGTGCCTAGGAGAGCTTTCTTTGTTCCCATAAGTTATTCATCAGCATAAAGGACTAGACTAGAGATCTAAACTCAACACCTCAAAGATTTATATTTAGATCGTATTAGAGCTTTTTAGTCATGCTAGCAGTAAAAGAAAACTTACAAGGGGTTATATGATTCACTCTTGAACTATGCATTATAATATATTTAGAACATATGTACACAGTAATCTTGCTGTAATGGTGTGTGTGCGTGCGTGCGTGTGCGCGCGTATGTGTGTGTGTTAATTGGTTTGAAAACAAACTTGTAAAATGAAAGTATAACTGTAACACCAGCCTATAAAACTAATCACACCTCCCTATTATACTTTTGCAGCATAAAACTAATCACACCTCCCTTTTATACTTTTACAGCATAAAACTAATCACACCTTCCTATTATACTTTTGCAGCATAAAACTAATCACACCTCCCTATTATACTTTTACAGCATAAAACTAATCACACCTTCTTATCCTACTTCTGGGCGATGAGGGGAAAAGATGAGGGGGGGGGGAAGCACATTTAAATGCAATAAGTTAATTAGGGAAGACTCACTAGCAAGGACTAATAAAATGAAATACGCTCAAAAGTGAATAGATCGAGGAGAAGCCTAGATCTATATAATTGCCCTAAATAGTAGATCTAGGCCTGCCCCTAACTAAGCCCAAAAAGGCCTAAATTATAACAAGACTGTAGATCTAGATCTATAGATCTAACCAATCCGAACCAATCAGCGTACTCACACAGAGATTAGTAAGAATGTTTGTATAAGAGTATAGTATAAAAGTATTTGTTTACGATGAAGTTAGTTAGAAGTTAGGTTAGAAGGATAGAGGCGCCACTGAGATTAGGGTAGGCTATGAAAATAATAAAAAAAAGTTAGTCAAAACAACTTTGAAATTCTTTCTAGAATCTAGACCTAGATCTAGATAATAGATAATCTAGATCTAGATTCTATATCTAGATCTAGATTCTAGGTCTAGTGGCAGACGATCGTAAGAAAGAATCGACCATTGAACATAAATCAATTAATAAATAATCGAAATCTAGATCTTAGATTCTAGATTCTAAATAAAAAAATATAGACTCTAGAATCTAGATTTTCAGATTTAGATCTAGATCTAGATCTAGATCTAGAATCCATATATATTTTTTAAAATGCAGTGCTAATGCTTACCTTTAAATACAATTTTAAAATGGTAGATCTAGATCTACTTATTTTGTAATTGGAGTTAGATTCTAGAACTAGAATAATGAATAGCTGAATATTGAATATTTTCACATTGTTTATTGTAATAAAACAAGTAAAGCAAGACGTTGCATAATACATTTCTTCAAAGGAGAGTTCTTTTTCAAAAAAAGTTTCTCGCATTTAAATTATAAACTTGTATTTTGGTTTGGTTGCTTTATGTACAGGATAGAAGTAGGCTAGACTCTATAAACTATAAATTCAGCATTTAGAAGTAAAATGAAATCTCCGAAAGTAAGCCTATAGAATATAGAATATAGATAGAGTATAGCAGAAGACACAAATGGGAAATAATCTAACAATAATATAATTTTGCTTAAATCACTAAGTACCTCCCTTTAAACTTCATACAGACTATTTTTTATAGACCTAGATTGGCTAAATTCTAGATCTACGTTCTTTAATAAACGATTACACTTGAAAAAGTTTCGCATCAAGCTAGACTCCAGATTTTGGTTTTCAATCATTAATTTTATCATTCATTAAATAAACTATTCATAATTTATAGATCTATCTAGTTGTATAATTTATAGTATTAAGTTTCATTCAAATCTAGATCCATGTTCATTTCATTTCTATTTAATCCTTTATTTAAAAATGAAAAATCAAATTTTATAAAAGTAATCAATAAAATGGGTATAGTGGTGGATTAAACAGTAGCGCCACAGGCGGGGACGGGCGGTAGAGACCGCACCAGGTGACTCAATGTTTTCATTAGTTTACTCATTAGGCTATAGTGATACAGGGCCTACATCTTTGGGCACAGTTTGACACCTGGTTTAGGGGATGACGTCGACACCAAATCGCGCATAGTTTTAGTAAGGGGGTGGTGGCTGGCGCCACTGATATTAGGTTTTGAAAATAATAATGAAACATTTAGTCAAAACAACTTTGAAATGCTTTCTAGATAAAAAATCTTAAAACCAAAGTTACTTTTATCTATTTAATATATTCTGGGTACATTATTAGATGTGTTATTTTAATTTTAACCAATAACGTGTGTTATCTAAAAATGTAACTAGAGCCGCAACAGTATACTTAATAATAAATCTATATGACCGTCATAGAGCATACATACGGTTTGAGAAGACTCCAATATCTCTACAAGATTTTGCTTCTGCCTACAAAAAGAGTAATACAGATGTATCCATGGTATCGGTAGCCCCTGTGTGCATAGCGAAAGAACGGTCCAAGTTTACGAAGATAGAAATCGAAATAGATTCCTGGCTAAGTCTCAGCTAAGTCTACTAAAGCCTGCACCTACGTCACGGACCTAATCAAATCAAGCTGGGGGGACAGGCAAGGGGGAACCTTGTTCCGTCAGCTCGTGTAGCATACCAACTGGAGGGGGGGGGGGACAAGCAAGGGGGAACCTTGTTCCGTCAGCTCGTGTAGCATACCAACATGAGGATAATTGCTCGTGCCATCTTGTCAATGGAAGGGGAACTAACTGGCACTAAGTGTGTTCACGTGTTTGTTTACAGAACACATCCGCTTCCAGACGGAACCTGAGTGCGGTCATTACCTAGCACTTCAAACCTGTTATCAATCGGGCTGAAATTTGATTTGTAGATATCGATACGGAACTATCGGCGGTTTCTTTAAGAGAAGTATGGGGGGGGGGGTGTGTCAATGGAGCAGGTTGTATTCATAGTTCATAGGAGGAATTGTGTAACTATTGTGTAACTCAAAGAAGTAGAAGGATGTTTAACATATTGGTTACATATTACTGAGTTATATGAGGTAACGTTACATAACACCGCCTTGGATTTTTTTTCTAATCCTTGTAAAATTTCAGTCTTGTAAGAAAGGTTGGATTAGTAAGTTGACGCAGGATGCAACATAATCTTTCTCCTATCAACATTTTGTGTATAGTCTTATAGGCCTACATGTTTTAGAAACGATGTCAGCATCAAATTCATTTAAAAATCTGGGAATTTCCACAATTTATATGTTCAAAACCCCACGTTCTTAACAATATTGAATAATAATATTTGATGCAAGGTAATCTTGGGAAACATTAAAACCAACCCCACCTTTTTTTGGGCTATACAATTAGTGCGCTAGGGGTGGAAGAGAAGTTGGATCAGCAAACACACTCATCTCTCAACCATCAATTGTCACAAAATTACACACTGAGTACACGGCGACGCAACCAAACGGCGTAGCTACTATTGGCGGGTGGGTGTTGGGGTACCAACTGTGTCACTGTTGTATGCAAAGGGGGGTAGGGGTGTATCAGATGTGCAGGCCATATATACCCCCTCCCCAGGTATTTCTTACAGACGCTCGTCCACCTAGACCAGCTGTAAGAATAGAGCGTGTTCTCTGAGCGATATGGTATGACAAATATCTGAAATATGTCTCGACAACGTAATGTTGGTGAGTAGATGTCTGTAGTTCCAGAGATAACTGCACAGTACACCTTACCTGTTTTTAGAAATGGTGTTCGACCTCAGCATACATATGCCCAGCCTGCACTATTACACCAATTACATCATTACACACATAATGGGGTGGAGCATTCTGGAGACATTCAATGTAATCCAGTGCAAACAGAACAATGGAATATTCTGGAAAGCTTCAAGGTATAACTCCCCATAGAGTTGCAGGAAGTTCTTGTATAAAAGGTAAAAAAAAAATTCCGTGTGTAGTAACACGGGTAAATTGTTAATTACAAACGTTTTAATTTGTGTGTGTATTGTTCTGTGGCGGTGTGGTCGTGTTAGGGTTCTAGATTTGTTGTAGCCCATATGTCGAGTGATTGTTAGGGTTCTAGATTTGTTGTAGCTCACATGTCGAGTGTTATATACAATTATAAGAGTGGGAGGGTAAAAAAAATGTTGCACGATCACAAAGATTGAGTCAGAAAGAAGTTGTGAGACAAATTCGTGTTTCTATAACAAAGTAAGAAGTTCCGTAACAAAATGCAGTGTTAGCTGGCGGCATACATACAGAAGAGTGCGCAGCTAAAAGTCAAGTGCACAGAACCGCACGGTGGAAACAAATCTACAGCATTTCCCACAGGTTGTCTGGCACTGTCCCAATAGAAGAAAATGGTGAAGATAGAAGAATTATGCCCACAACACTGCACTGGATTAGTCCTGTTGTCACAATCATTCAGCAGATTAGTCCTAATTTCACAATTCTTCAGCGGATTTGTATTGTCACAATCATTCAGAAGATTAGTCCCATTGTCTCAAGTCTTCCGACGATGAGTCTTGTTACAAAGAAAACCTAGCTTATCTGCACTGTATGTGGGAAAAAACCTTTTTTGTTTTCACCATCAGTGCTATATCTTGGCTAAAATAAACCCATACCTCATGCTGGGAGCAAACATTTTCTGCAGAAGGCGATCTATCGTTAAACTTAGGCAGCAGTTCTTTATAGGGAGCCTAAGCTAGTGGCCATCAATAAGGATCATTCAAACCCTTTAGGTTTGCCTTTGTAGTTGTAGACAGCTGTTGTTTAGAGAGAGCCTAAGCTAGTGGCTATCAGTATCAATAAGGATAATTCAAGACCTTAAGGTTTGCCTTCGTAGCTAGGCTGTCAAGTACCTTTGACCAAAAAGAAACTGACATACAAAATGATAAATTGAGAAAAAATACTTCATCAAATCAATGGAACCAAGTTAACGACAGACGGTGGTTATTGACCTAGTAAAATCAGAATTAAGAGATCGGAAACTTTTGCACAGCATTAGTTTAAATAATAACATAGGCAGTAAATAATGACAAATATTTCAGTAGGTTTGTGCTTTTATTTTGTTCATACAATACTAGATACTGTATCATCCAAAATAACAGACGAATAATAACTTTAGATCACAGTCCTTCATTACCCACAACTACATTGTTCTAAATATCAGATTCATAGAAACTTGGACATTCATTTGAGTGTATTTTATTATCAACATTTTAGCTGAATATTAGATTATTAAAATTTTTACAAGGATCAAGGTTAAGCCTGCAATAATAAGTGTATTGAAAGCACATTTTCGTGGCATAGAAATTTTCATGGCATTAGAAAAGACATTTGTACTTTTATCTTCATTAAATCTGAAAAAAAAATGCGAACTAAATAACTACATAGGTAACATTTCTGTAAACACAAAAAATGCAATAAGGTTAAAAGCAACTACTAACAAGCAATTGTGAATGAGTAGTTCACTGATACAAAAAAAAAAAAAAAAAAAAAATCACATTTACACCACTAAAATCTTCAGTGCTTATTAGAGATTAGCTCAACTCTGCTCAATTGCTGCATGGTAAAGTAACTATAATCACTCTAACCAATAGGTTACCACTCTTAGGTTACCTCAGGGGGGTATCCAGCTTAGATGCAGCTGACAAGTTTAATAGAGAGGAGCAATAAGGGTAGCACTTTTCTACAGCCTGGTAGCAGGGACTGAATTGACTTAGATGACTTGAAGTTCTGCTTGATTTAATCAGCCATTAAGTTAACCCTTCCTCCAGCACAAACCATGCAAGTTGGCAATTTTCTACATCCTGGTAGCCAAGACTATATTTACTAAAAACTACTAGATGTTCTGCTTGATTTAACCAGCCATCAAGTTAACCCTTGCACAATATATGTAAAAACAACTGAGTATCTGAATTTAAAAAAAATTAATTAGGAAATCTGTAGGACAATTTTTTTAAAGAGATCAGACAGTGCAAACACTCAAGCTGTAAGCACATTAGAAATAATAAAAAAGACAAATGTAGCCAATGAAGTTGAAAAGTGAAGTGGTGTGGGTAAAATGTATGATAAAATTAATGAATAAAATGGAGTAATCAGGTCAGCCCATCAAAAACTCGCTTCAAATAGCAGAAAATTTGGTACCAGTATGTGTCAGTGCCAGCAGTTTACACACGACCATCAGTTAAAAACAACAACAGTTGGGGATACGTTAAAATATTTCTCATCCTTAGTACAATACCCAAACAAAATATGAAAGTAATAAATACATTGAAAATAAAATACAACTTTGTCTAGGAATAGTTTTAAGTTTTATTTCTAAAACCATAATGCAAAGTACATTAATTTTACAACAGATTTAGGAGCAAATCCTTAGGATTATTAGCACTGTTCAGTAAAAACCAATACTTAAAAGCATACATCAATGAAATATAACATCACAGAAATCCAGATGAAGAAAGCAGTTGAACTTTATTTCTCCTTTTTATTGTCACCTCCTTCAAGTTTATCCTGAGAAGAAAAAAGTAAAGTACCTTACTAATAAGGCATATAAAATGATTACCAACTTAATAAATGAGCCAGTACACAATCTCCACTTACATGAAGTTCTGCATTCTCTTTCAAAAGTCTGTCGTACTCCTGATTTGTACTTTCTGCCTGCTTTTTGATGGTGTTCAAGTCAACTCTAGCACGATACAGCTCCTCTCTGGTAGTTTCTAGGTCAGTGCGGGTAGAGGCAAGTTCCTTCTCAACAGCTGACAAGTCCTTCTCTTCTGTTGCTAAATTCTAAACAATAGGGTCAACAACAAGATTAGCTTTAACTGGTAAGCACTAAAGGAGTATTAGGACGCAAGAATCAAGTCATGTCAGGACACAAGAATCAAGTCATGTCATGTCTAGGACACAAGAATCAAGTCATGTCAGGTCTAGGACACAAAAATCAAGTCATGTCAGGACACAAGAATCAAGTCATGTCAGGACACAAGAATCAAGTCATGTCAGGTCTAAGACAAGAATCAAGTCATGTCAGGTCTAGGACACAAGAATCAAGTCATGTCAGGTCTAGGACACAAGAATCAAGTCATGTCAGGTCTAGGACACAAGAATCAAGTCATGTCAGGTCTAGGACACAAGAATCAAGTCATGTCAGGTCTAGGACAAAAGAATCAAGTCATGTCAGGACACAAGAATCAAGTCATGTCAGGACACAAGAATCAAGTCATGTCAGGACACAAGAATCAAGTCATGTCAGGTCTAGGACACAAGAATCAAGTCATGTCAGGTCTAGGACACAAGAATCAAGTCATGTCAGGACACAAGAATCAAGTCATGTCAGGACACAAGAATCAAGTCATGTCAGGACATAAGAATCAAGTCATGTCATGTCTAGAATACAAGAATCAAGTCATGTCAGGCCTAGGACGCAAGAATCAAGTTATGTCAGGTCTAGGACACAAGAATCAAGTTATGTCAGGTCTAGGACACAAGAATCAAGTCATGTCAGGACACAAGAATCAAGTCATGTCAGGACACAAGAATCAAGTCATGTCAGGACACAAGAATCAAGGCATGTCAGTATTGTCAGGTCTAGGACACAAGAATCAAGTCTTGTCAGGTCTAGGACACAAGAATCAAGTCTTGTCAGGTCTAGGACACAAGAATCAAGTCATGTCAGGTCTAGGACACAAGAATCAAGTCATGTCTGGTCTAGGACACAAGAATCAAGGCATGTCAGGTCTAGGACACAAGAATCAAGTCATGTCAGGTCTAGGACACAAGAATCAAGTCATGTCAGGTCTAAGACAAGAATCAAGTCATGTCAGGTCTAGGACACAAGAATAAAGTCATGTCAGGTCTAGGACACAAGAATCAAGTCATGTCAGGTCTAGGACACAAGAATCAAGTCATGTCAGGACACAAGAATCAAGTCATGTCAGGACACAAGAATCAAGTCATGACAGGACACAAGAATCAAGTCATGTCAGGACACAAGAATCAAGTCATGTCAGGTCTAGGACACAAGAATCAAGTCATGTCAGGACACAAGAATCAAGTCATGTCAGGACACAAGAATCAAGTCAAGTCAGGACATAAGAATCAAGTCATGTCATGTCTAGAATACAAGAATCAAGTCATGTCAGGCCTAGGACGCAAGAATCAAGTTATGTCAGGTCTAGGACACAAGAATCAAGTCATGTCAGGTCTAGGACACAAGAATCAAGTCATGTCAGGTCTAGGACACAAGAATCAAGTCATGTCAGGACACAAGAATCAAGGCATGTCAGTATTGTCAGGTCTAGGACACAAGAATCAAGTCATGTCAGGTCTAGGACACAAGAATCAAGTCATGTCAGGTCTAGGACACAAGAATCAAGTCATGTCAGGTCTAGGACACAAGAATCAAGTCATGTCTGGTCTAGGACACAAGAATCAAGGCATGTCAGGTCTAGGACACAAGAATCAAGTCATGTCAGGTCTAGGACACAAGAATCAAGTCATGTCAGGTCTAGGACACAAGAATCAAGTCATGTCAGGACACAAGAATCAAGTCATGTCAGGTCTAGGACACAAGAATCAAGTCATGTCAGGACACAAGAATCAAGTCATGTCAGGTCTAGGGCACAAGAATCAAGTCATGTCAGGTCTAGGACACAAGAATCAAGTCATGTCAGGTCTAGGACACAAGAATCAAGTCATGTCAGGCCTGAATCAAGTTATGTAACTGTTAGACTAAGGATACAAGAATCCAATGATACCACTACTACCTTTTTGTTTTCTTCCCTTGTGTTCTTCTCTTCCATGAAGTGTTTGGCTGCAGCTGATGCACTCTCTGCTTGTTTCATGCTGGCCTCACACTGAGCCATCAATGTGGCTTCTGTAGCAATCAATGTGATCAGTCTTTTCAGTATGCTGAAAGATTAAACAGCACTCTTAGCTTATTTCCTTTCAATGAATATATATAATGAAGTTAGGCCTATCAATAAGGAAACTTTAAATTGACAAAAATTCAAGAATATCAAGCATACTTTATATTTGTCCTAAAGCATGTGTTTAACATAACATATCCTAACTTATAAGGCTAATACTAAAATGCAAAAGTGTTAAAATATGCAACATTTTATTTACAAAAGAAGGAATAAATTAAAAACATTTAATGAGGTTACTACCATACTATAACTATAAAGCCCTAAGTGCACGCTCTAAGTTTGTGAAAGAAAAGGTTCATTCCAGAAGAAAGTAATGTGTTAAATTATGACAATTCTGTGGAGATTAAACTAAACACAGCCTGCATGCTTTTAGCATCACTATACATGAACTAAAATATTATCAAAGTTAGCTGTTAATGAAGATAATAACACATTAACACAGAATAAGCAAAATCACAATTTTAAAGCATTTAAAATAATGAAAGGTATTGCTTTTAAATTTCACAGCAGTTTCTATATTGCTTTACTTTCTAAGATTACCTTTAAGCAAATATTGTTTATGGTTAATAACAACACGAATTTATAAATTTATCAACGTTAAAACAATAAAATGAAAGAAATTATATTTGCCAATTAAATGTAACTGATAACAAAAAAACAACAACACAGTATTAGTGTGTTAACTTTGCAAAGCTGTTGTCAACAAAATGTGCTAGAGGGTAACAATTAAGACAGAACCCTACAGAATCTATGTGACACTGGAAATGTTGCAGCAGTCTATTTAATTTCTGCCACAAAAATTTACAACCAATTCCCTATATCCTAAAGTAGGAAAAAGAATGTAAACTTTGAGATACATTTCTTTCTCTGATTTTAAAAAAGATGGCGCCTGCACATTGGAGGAAAAGATTTGATCAACTTACAACCAGAGAAATAAAGCCATTCCTGCAATGTACATGTTCCTTTGAGCACGAAACAGCTTCATGTTATAAGCATTTTCAGCCTCGGGGAATTGCCTTAGATCATCATGCTCTAGCGGTTTGGAATATTTCCAGGCTTCACGAACAGATTCTGGCAGGAAGAGTTAAACAAGGAAGAGTAACAGCTACATGCACTAAACGCTTTACTCACAACCACAAGAACAAGGCAAAGCCTGATATGTAAAAATTTCTTTGGGCTCTGAAAAGTTTCATGTGCTGCAGTGTTTCAGCAGCTGGTGTCTTAGCGTCATGCACCGTAACATTGGAATCTGAGTACTTCAACATTTCACGCACTGACTCTGGTAAAGCCAAATTTGGAAAGTTATTATATGTAATCAAGGTAAGCAACTGCATTAATTAACCAGAATAAAGTAAGATTGTGTTCCTTCTCAGGAAAATACAGCTAGTCCTAAATTAATATAAATTAAATTCTTAATGATGATAAATAGCAAAAGGTTTCAAGTAACTAAACTAAAATGTTAACATCCATACAGTAGTTGGAAAATGATTGATAAAAGTGGAATGACTTACCAGCAAACAGCAAGACAAGAATTGCAATAAAAATATAGAAGTAAATGGCAGAATATGAAGAAAGCATTGTTGCAAGGCGACATCTGAATAATTTCTGCCATCTGAAACATATAGAAAATATATCTATGTGACATCTAACCTTGCTTAATGTCAAAATCCAACATCAATTCAGATTTAAAAAAAAAATTATCTTAGGTCTCAGCAAGCCTTTTCTAGTCAATGGAGGAACAAATATCTAGCCTGTGGTTGGCAAAGACAACAAACAAACATACAAAACAAATGTCTGCCCTTATATAAATAAAGCAGCAGTCAGCACTGACTACTGCTCTCTGTGGCAAGTTTAGTATTGATCAGAACATTGTCAAGAGGTGTGGCTCTAATTCCTACTGACTGAAACATTCTGAAAGCCAACTACAGGCCCAATACTTGAAACCCTCAGACCTTTTACCTTTCATCACAGACCATATCAAAAGTATTTGTTGAAATTTCTAATTATTTGAAAAAACAAAACAATAATTTCTTGAACTAGTTGAACAAAACATGGTTTCAAAATAATAAAAATTTGGCAACATAAAAAGAATTGCCCTTTTAACATACCTAGTCTACATAAACCAATCAAGTTTATTATATTTCAAAGTTAACAAATAACAAAGGATTGTTGAAGGCGAACAAATATGAAAAGTGAACAATCATTCATAACAATTTTTTTAAAAAGGTCACCACAGCAAGCTTACACCTTCACAACAATTTCTCGATGAAGCCATATCAAATGTAGGTCTACGGTTGTTTAATTGGAAACATTGTACACTGCAGTCCATCTTTTAGTAACATTGTAGGGGAAGGCAAAACACTAGCTTGAGACTCATATTCTGTGATGACCTGCCCCCTTTTTCCTAATCAGGTGGTATAATAAGCTTTTTTTTTGGGGGGGGGGGGGGGGGGGGGCTGGAAGAAACCCACAAATCACATACTTACGTTTTGGGTGAAATAAAAGGTAACAGAAGTACTATAATCAGAAAGATTTCAACATATAGCACTGTAGCCACAAATGTCCACTGTAATGTCATTGTTGCTTTGTACACCTACAATAAAAAAAAAAATTGGGAAAACGAATGTAAGGTCAAAGCTACTGACTGGCCCATATAATGTTATGCACAATAAAAAAAAAAGGATCTGTAGGCCTAAACATTTTTTTTAAAATTGTCTCAAATGCCTTTTTAATAAACAATACTTTTTGTTGTTGAGCAAAATCAGGTTCAGGCCCAAAATCAAGTAAACACCCCTTCTTTCTTTTTTTAAAAGATAAAAGCCACATTACGGCTACAGTGAGCTAGATATATCTGTTATATCTAGAAGCTAGTTAGGCCTATAGCAAAAACATTTTATCTAAACCTTGATTGGTTCAAGTTTCACAGGTAATCCAAAATTCAATCTTTTCATCCAGGGGTGTGTAATAGAAAAAAATTATTTTGCAACTTAAAAAATTAGGCCCTATTCTAAAAGCCTACTTAAATTTCCCCAAAATGTAATAGTAAGAACTGGACACAGATATGTTCACAAATTAACTTATGACATGCCAAGCGCTGCTTTCGAATTATTTAACATCCAAATAAACTTTTAAATAAGGCGAAAACCAACAAGTGCAACTTTGAGGTCTGTGTTATACTACTATTGCAGTCCCGCTCTTATAACTCTAGAAATTAAAATCAAGGTGCCTAGGTCTCTAACCAGTAGTCCTAGCTACTACTAGGCAAGTAGATATATTAGTTAGATCTAGATCCTCTAGTAATCAGTAAGTTACTCAATTGGATGTAACGTCAGTAAAGTCGTACAGTCCTTGAGGGGGAAAAAGCTTTTTCCGAGCAGTCACTTCATAAAAATTACCCAAGCTTAGCTAGATCAGCTAGATGTCTAAATGTAACAGTAAATAAACAAACAGTTGATAAAATATAAAAATTAACCTGCAGAATAGATTAAAATTAATCTGGATGCTATTAAAGTATTTGAAATTAACACGGTGGAACAATCAGATGTGAATCAAACAATAACAAAAATTGATCGATAAAAAAGTTGCGGAAGTGTAGACTATGCTGATTTTAAACTTCACGAAAAAGAAATGGAGGCCTGGCCTAATGCTGTAAAATAAAAAAAGAAATCAAATACAATTATGAAAGTATTTGTAGACCTTATCTGATTTAAATAACTAGGTTAAGAGTTAAGAGGTTTAATACACATTTTAAGTTTTAAATATCGTAGTAGTCTATAATTACTTAATTGAATCACCTCGGAATAAAAATGTGACTATGACTAGATCCAACTTTGATGACGACGCTTAAAAAACTGGAGTAAACTTCCGGCCTAGGAAATCTCGAGAGATTTTGTTTCCTAGGATACAATGGCGGTGCTACGCCAAGCAAAATGAAATCCAATCACTCAATCCTCTGTTACTAGCTTTTATGTTTTAACTAGATATATTATTAATTTTTTGATTAGCTGAAAATGTCTCACAGGTGAGAACGTACAGTATGAATTTTAATTACAATTGCCTTCAGACTTAATCTGGTTTACCTAGACTAGACTCTAGAAAAACTAGACTAAGATTTGATTTTATTCAAATATTAATTAGATCTATATAGATCTATATTATTCAATATTCAATCATTATTATTAGTAGTAAAATGTATTTAATGTTGCATTTAGCTGATTTAGGTTACTTTTAGTATTTTAAAATCTTGAATCTAGGCCTAAAAACAAATAGCCACCATATTTTTTTTTTAGTTATCAATGGGAATCATATCCACAACAAATAAGTTAGTTCATGAATTTATTACAAGATGTGTTTGTTCCACCCCCCCCCATCCCCTTTTTTTTTAAATTTCTTGTTACAGATTTTTTTATTCTTTAAATTTCTCCAAGTCAATAGAACTTGTTTCAAAAATTGATTTTTTTGGAACACATGACATTTCTGTATATAATGTAGTGGTCTGATGCTAAAAGGGGGAGGGGGAGTCGAAATAACCCAGTATTGAGGATTACCTTGATGAAATTCAAGTAAAAAAAAACTAAATGAACAAAGTTGATAAAGTTAAAATTTGAGTAGTTAACAATAGTGTGAAGTGGGCTTTATGAATATACTATTCAACTTTCTTTAAATATACTAGAATGGCTTATGTGCAGAGGACAGCAGCATCATGCTTTTTTGTGTACACTCAAATCAAATGTGTGCATAGTTGAATAGTCAACAGAAAACCTTTAATCACTCATTCCCTTTTTGTCTATTAGCCAGCTACACTTATGCCCCAACTTTATCTGTAGTCTTGTCTTCCATGTCATCTGTACTGTTGTAAACACTCCGTATACAAATCTACGTATAACAAATATAATGATAGCCTTTAAGGCCTAGATCAAGTAAGGTTTGTTAATTTGTTCACCTGCATTTATTTACATAATTTGTATACATGTGAGTAACCATTCCACTAATTTGATGTGTTAAAACATCCAGCTATTACAACAAACAATGGCAGGAGGCTCAGGCTGCCCTTATAGACCTCCTGCAGCAAGAGAACCCCCCAGAGCCACCCAAACCAGAGAGGGTAAGTACACTCAAATTGTTTAACACTCTAACTAGTCAAACATATTTTCTATTCTTAACTTATTATTTTTATTACTTTTTTTTAGGATCGTCTTGCAGCCTTTCAGCTTCTGGCCACAATGTACATCAAATACATTCAGATCTTTCGTAAGCTGGAGCAGTCCTATGACCAGATAGTGCACCCACAGAAAAGATTGGTACTAAGGCACTGTTTGGATGGTGTCATGGGCCGAGTTGTTGAGCTCAAGCATGAAATGATGAACTTAGAGTTCTCAGAGTACCATTATTTTGATGACGTCTTGTCTGACCTGAAGTTGACACCAGTAAGTTGAATTTAGTAAAAAAAAAACTTTGGAAGGATAATTATGATTTTTTTAAAAGTGTCTTATTAACTCAAATCAAATGTTATAATTGATTGTAATGATATTTTTATGATATTTTGTTATTTAAACTTCTTGTTAGATTATTAAGAGCTACACAACTTAATAATTAATTGTTGACTAATTAATTACAAGCTATTCATGGAAATATTGTAATTAAATTGTTACCATTATTCCCATGATTTGAAATGTTTTAGAATGATGTGGAGATTCCAATTCCAAAATATTTTACACATGAAAGAATGAAAAACATCAAGGAAAGAGAAAAACTGTTAGGGCAAGTGCTGGCAAAAATAGGACCCCAAGATCTTGAAAGGGTAAGGGGTTATTTCCTTTTGATTTCCTAAATGTTTATCTTCCTTGGCTAAAAATTACAATTTTGGTTATTTTAGCTGGTTTTTATTTTATTGTACATGATTCATTCTCTCACTAATAAAGTTTTAGAAATTTTTTAAACTCTTGCCTCATTCAAAAAACTATTTCCTACTATAGAACTTGAACTTTATCTGCTATAATACAATAGAGATAGCATTATAAAAATATCCCTTTCATTCGAGTGAATGTAAAGTTAAGATTCTCTATTCGCTCAAAAGGAAAAAGAAGAAATCCGAATGCCGTGGGAACAAGCCATTAAAATAATTCAGATTCATGAGAGGGCCAGACAAGGTCGCCTGCGAGCCAAATTTATGAGAGAGATTAGACAGCAGGAAGACAGAGAAAAACAAGCGCAAACACAGGGGGCACCAACTCTAGACATAGATGTAGCAGCCATGAGGATTCAAAAGGTCAAGCCTCGGATTTTTTTATTTGATCCAATACAAAACTTGTGTTTATTTAATCTTTTATTAAATTATTTTAAAATATAGTACATTTTTAACTTTTAAAGATAGATTTACTGTGACTTATTATTATAATATTATATCAAACCAAGTAGATCTGTATAAGTTTATGTGAAACAGTGAGCAACATTGTGTCTTATTAGCTTATATTCTACCTGCCCTTGTTCAGGTTTGGAAAGGTTTCTCTCAGAGGCGGAAGACAAGGAAAGAAAGGGAGGAAGAAATGATTTTTATTGGCATGGTAATTGGGACACTTGTATAGTTGATAGTCTAAAATGATTTAGGGTGATGCTTGTAGAGTTTATAATTTAAAGAAATTCAAATGCAGGCACCTAATTTTTTCATTTATTGACCTGCAACTATGATAAGGTAAATTTTAAAAAATGTTATTACCTAATCAACCTGTTTGTAAGAATTTTGTCTAGTCTAAATAAAACATCCTACCATCAGACCCCAGCGCCACTCCCAACAAGCACCAAGAATTTGCCGCAAACATTTGCTCAGAAAACTGAAGAGCTACGTCGCAAAACTCAGGAAGTTCATGAACACGAATATCAGCAGGCTCTAGTGAACATCAGAGAAAATATAATACAAAATGAAGGTCCTGACATGAAGGAATCCATGATGGATCAGATACGCCAGTGGTTCATTGAGTGCAGGTGACCGTATTGTCCATTTGTCTGTGCTTTTAACCACAAAATTGGGATTCTCTGTTAGTTTTTAAAAGTTAAAACTGATTAAACTTTAGAAGTAAACGTTTTCCTTTTTTGAAAAAATCTATAAATATGTGTACACTTCCCACATAAAAGTTACCATTAAACTTTAAAAGTAAAAGATTTCCCTATTTGAGAAAATCTTAAAATGTGGTCCTACACTTACAGAGATGCCACTGGAAAGTTCCCTGAATATCCCAGTTCTGATGATGGGGGATCTGCTGTTATATTTAAAGAGAAGGACCCAGCTGAGCTGCAGAAAGAGCTGAACGATAAAGTAAGATTTGTGGAATACTTCATTAGGGGAGACAATTTTGTGACATTTACCCAGTCCACTTACCCAACACTTGATTAGGGGAGATCATTGTGACATTTACCCAACACTTGATTAGAGGAGACCATTGTGACATTTAGCCAGTCCACTTACCCAACACTTGATTAGAGGAGACCATTGTGACATTTAGCCAGTCCACTTACCCAACATTTGATTAGGGGAGATCATTGTGACATTTAGCCAGTCCACTTACCCAACACTTGATTAGGGGAGATCATTGTGACATTTAGCCAGTCCACTTACCCAACACTTGATTAGGGGAGATCATTGTGACATTTAGCCAGTCCACTTACCCAACACTTGATTAGGGGAGATCATTGTGACATTTACCCAGTCCACTTACCCAACACTTGATTAGGGGAGATTATTGTGACATTTACCCAACACTTGATTAGGGGAGATCATTGTGACATTTAGCCAGTCCACTTACCCAACACTTGATTAGGGGAGATTATTGTGACATTTACCCAACACTTGATTAGGGGAGATCATTGTGACATTTAGCCAGTCCACTTACCCAACACTTGATTAGGGGAGATTATTGTGACATTTACCCAACACTTGATTAGGGGAGATCATTGTGACATTTAGCCAGTCCACTTACCCAACACTTGATTAGGGGAGATTATTGTGACATTTACCCAACACTTGATTAGGGGAGATCATTGTGACATTTAGCCAATCCACTTACCCAACACTTGATTAGGGGAGATTATTGTGACATTTACCCAACACTTGATTAGGGGAGATCATTGTGACATTTAGCCAGTCCACTTACCCAACACTTGATTAGGGGAGATCATTGTGACATTTAGCCAGTCCACTTACCCAACATTTGATTAGGGGAGATCATTGTGACATTTAGCCAGTCCACTTACCCAACACTTGATTAGGGGAGATTATTGTGACATTTACCCAGTCCACTTACCCAACACTTGATTAGGGGAGATTATTGTGACATTTACCCAACACTTGATTAGGGGAGATCATTGTGACATTTAGCCAGTCCACTTACCCAACACTTGATTAGGGGAGATTATTGTGACATTTACCCAACACTTGATTAGGGGAGATCATTGTGACATTTAGCCAATCCACTTACCCAACACTTGATTAGGGGAGATTATTGTGACATTTACCCAACACTTGATTAGGGGAGATCATTGTGACATTTAGCCAGTCCACTTACCCAACACTTGATTAGGGGAGATTATTGTGACATTTACCCAGTCCACTTGCCACATCTTATAAAACAATAGTTCACTAGTTCTTCCCTCTTCTACTATAGGTTGTCTCCATTTGAAAAAATTGCAGTATTTGGTAAAACTAAGAATTAAAGAGTTTTTCATTCATGTATTCTTTGTTGAAACATATTTTTAATAATTCAAAAAACATTTTTCATGTTAAAACTACCGTTTAGTAGTTTTTTGTTTCTTTTTTTTCTTTGTATTATGATACATTTTTTGCTTTATTTCAGCAAATTGCGTACATATTGATTTAGCTTATTTCCAGAGTATTTAGAGAAACATAATTTTACTCAGATGGTCAATAAATAGTCCTAGTGAAACATTTTATTGTCATTTAATTTGATCATGTGACTTTGATGGCCAATCAACACACTGTTATTGTTATTGTAATTGATCAGCTTTCTAAATTAGAAAGTTTAAATAACAGGTTATTTTTGTTTTTAATAGGATGAAAATAAAGGCAAAGGAGGTAAGAAGGGTAAAAAAGGAAAGAAGGAAAAAAAGGGGAAAAAAGGAAAGAAAGGTAAAAAGGGCAAGAAAGGAAAGAAAGGGGGAAAAGGCAAGAAAGGAGATGATGAGGTAATAACAATCATTTGTCTTCAGTAATAGTAGGACATTTGTTAAAATTGAAGTTATTGTAGGCATTCTTGTAAAATAAATCTGATTTAAGTTATTGTAGGACATTTTTGTAAAATTTGATGTAGACCTAAATAATTGAAGGCATTCTTTAGAATTTGATATTAAAAAATAAATTGATATTAATTAATATATTTATATATTTAAAACTGTAAAATGTAGTGACTTGAAACTTTTTTATTTGAATTCAGGAGGAAGAGGAAGGCTGGAAAATGGCACCATCTAATTTTGTACCTGCTGTCAATGAAGCTACTGGAACATACAAAGGTGTGACATTGTTAACATTTGTTTACATTTAGATTTTTTAAATGGTCCAGTATAATGTAATGGAATATTTTCTAATTGAATTTTTCAAAATTTATAATTTGTATTTTATCGGACTTATGTTTAGATTTTGAGAAAACATAGATTAAATAACATCTTTAAATTTAATATCTTTTTGTAAAGTTACTGTGCCACTCTTCACTTTTGAAACCAAAATTTGTAGGTATTTGGGTGAATAGAGATGAAAGTGATAACTTTGCGCAGAAACATGACTCAGAGCTGATCAAAGAGGACAAGAGGAAGGAGGTAGAAACAGAGATCAGAACACAGGTTGATGAACTCATGAGGGTGGAACTCGCTAATCTAAAAGCTGTAAGTCAAGTTTTAAAAATTAGAGCTACAGACTCTTAATTAAATCAACTTAAAACCTAACACTAGAAAAAAATGTACTAACATTTTAGAAGGACTCCTATTTTGATAAATGTTCGCTCTGAACTGGTTTTTTTCTTTTAACTGTATAATATCATACAGACTTTACTTTTCTGGAGTGGATGACATTTAAACAGAAATTTGTATCATAGTTTACATATCTTTGTATCAATCATGAAAGTACCAGAAACTGAGCACGCTATTTCATTTCTTTTAAAACAGGCAGTGGACAGAGATAAAAAGGGGAAAAAAGGAAAAAAAGGTAAAAAATCTGGAAAAAAGAAGAAGAAAAAGGGGAAAAAATCTGGGAAAAAAGGAAAGAAAGGAAAAAAAGGAAAGAAAAAGGAAAAAGATTTGACACCAGACAGGTGAGAATATGATGGATGTATTTACGTGCATAGATATGTTAACTCATATTTTAAATTTTGTAGGAAAACTTAAGTAATTAATGATGAAACTTTTAGTAATGAATGCAATTTTAGAATTTGATATCTCTTACTGTATTTGAAATTTATTGATTAATTATAAATGTCACAAAGCAAATATGTTTTTTATTAAAATCAGAGATATCAATTTAGTTAATTTTTTATCGTTAGTTTTGATTTATTATAACATTTGCTCTGAAAATAGAATATAAGGATTTATTTCTTTATTTTTCACAACTTTGTTTCTTTGTAGATAGTTTATAAAATCCCATTTATTCCCAGGACCATAGATGACCTGTACGAAGAACTGGTCACCCAAGGTATCATCATCAGGTGTCCTCAGGTCAAGCTCAGCGACTACGAAGGGGAGTACAGCTACCTGGGGACGACCCTCAGGCAAGCAAACATTGAACCAATGCCATCCCTTTCTGACGTCAGGCGCCTGCTCACAGAGTTTGGAATTTTACCACTAGGCAGGCACTTCTCTTTTATCTGGTTCTACATAAGTATAAGGCAGTGCATACTAGTATTTTGTAGTAAATACGTTAATAGTGATGTAGTCTTATTTATGTTGCAAGTAAAACTTTTGAGTGATGGCTGTCCACTGTCTGTCTAGGGTCCCCGGCTGTGCATGAGAACTGCCCAATGACCAAGTCCATCATGTTGGCGGGCCCCAGGGGTACAGGTAAAAAAATGCTGGTCCACGCCATGTGTACAGAACTTGGCGCCAACCTGTTTGACCTGTCCCCGGGGAATCTGGCAGGTAAATACCCAGGGAAAGACGGCCTTAAGATGTTGATGCACCTCATCTTCAAGGTAAGGCATGCTCGTTATTTCTTTTCTCTTTTAATAATACTACTTTTTTTAGTATTAATTTTAAGTCATAATGTTACATCATTAAACATTCGGATGGCTTGTTTGATAATTACTTTATTATCTAAGTTCCCCAGTTATCAATCTATTTGTATCTACAGGTTGGACGAGCCTTACAGCCTTCAGTATTTTACATTGGAGATTGTGAGAAAATGTTTAAGAAAAAAATTCCCAAAACAGATCCAGTACGTTGATGTGTTTTCCTTGTAGCAACAAATATTTTATTCTGTTGTGGAATTCAATCAGTTTTTCTTGTCCTCAATTTTAGCAACTTCTGATGTAAACAAGTCCAAAACAGTCATTATAAATGGAAATAATTTTTGTTTCCATTTTTCTTCAGACTGATCCAAAGAGATTGAAAAAAGAGCTCCCAAAAGCCTTGAAGTCCATCAAGGGTGAAGACAGGATCCTGCTAGTCGGGACAACAAGATGTCCCCAGGATGCTGACATGAAGCCTTTGTTGGCCTGTTACCAGAGAGTTATTTTAATACCCAGACCAGACTACGCTTCCAGGCATTGTAAGACTTTGTCACCATGGTTTTATTGTAGTAGCCTTGCAGTGGAGGAGGGGGGACTTGTTAACTTCTCTGTTCTATGTGTTGTAGTGCCCTTACAGGAGAACTAGTTTAAATATATGTCCTATGTGTAGAACCCTTAAATGGGGTGGGGACATATTGAGACCGATGCTGTCTTTACCACCCAAAGGGCACAAGCTACAACTATCAATTCCCTGAAACCTGGAACCAGGAAAAATGTCTCAGTTTTAATTAGTATAATTTTTTTGTGAGGGCTCACGAGTCATATAACAGGACAGTAACACTGAAAATGTAAACAGCAGAAAATTGTCTAACTACACCAGAACTAACTGTTTGATTTCCCCCAGTGTTGTGGAGGAAGCTGATTCTAAAACACGGAGGTTTGTTGACCAACCACATTGACATCAGTTCACTGTCCAAGGCAACAGATGGGTTTACTGCTGGTCACATGGTCACTGCATGTCAACAGGTCAGTACACACTGCCTGCCTACAGGTCAGTACACACTGCCTGCCCACAGGTCAGTACACACTGCCTGCCTGCCCACAGGTCAGTACACACTGCCTGCCTACAGGTCAGTACACACTGCCTGCCTGCCCACAGGTCAGTACACACTGCCTGCCAACAGGTCAGTACACACTGCCTGCCTACAGGTCAGTACACACTGCCTGCCAACAGGTCAGTACACACTGCCTGCCTGCCCACAGGTCAGTACACACTGCCTGCCCACAGGTCAGTACACACTGCCTGCCTGCCCACAGGTCAGTACACACTGCCTGCCTGCCCACAGGTCAGTACACACTGCCTGCCTACAGGTCAGTACACACTGCCTGCCTGCCCACAGGTCAGTACACACTGCCTGCCTGCCCACAGGTCAGTACACACTGCCTGCCTACAGGTCAGTACACACTGCCTGCCCACAGTTCAGTTCACACTGCCTGCCCACAGGTCAGTACACACTGCCTGCCTACAGGTCAGTACACACTGCCTGCCCACAGGTCAGTACACACTGCCTGCCTACAGGTCAGTACACACTGCCTGCCTGCCCACAGGTCAGTTCACACTGCCTGCCCACAGGTTAGTACACACTACCTGCCTGCCCACAGGTCAGTACACACTGCCTGCCTACAGGTCAGTACACACTGCCTGCCTGCCCACAGGTCAGTACACACTGCCTGCCCACAGGTCAGTACACACTGCCTGCCCACAGGTCAGTACACACTGCCTGCCCACAGGTCAGTACACACTGCCTGCCTACAGGTCAGTACACACTGCCTGCCCACAGGTCAGTACACACTGCCTGCCCACAGGTCAGTACACACTGCCTGCCTACAGGTCAGTACACACTGCCTGCCTGCCCACAGGTCAGTTCACACTGCCTGCCCACAGGTTAGTACACACTACCTGCCTGCCCACAGGTCAGTACACACTGCCTGCCCACAGGTCAGTACACACTGCCTGCCTGCCCACAGGTCAGTACACACTGCCTGCCCACAGGTCAGTACACACTGCCTGCCCACAGGTCAGTACACACTGCCTGCCCACAGGTCAGTTCACACTGCCTGCCCACAGGTCAGTACACACTGCCTGCCCACAGGTCAGTACACACTGCCTGCCCACAGGTCAGTACACACTGCCTGCCTGCCCACAGGTCAGTACACACTGCCTGCCAACAGGTCAGTACACACTGCCTGCCTACAGGTCAGTACACACTGCCTGCCAACAGGTCAGTACACACTGCCTGCCTGCCCACAGGTCAGTACACACTGCCTGCCCACAGGTCAGTACACACTGCCTGCCTGCCCACAGGTCAGTACACACTGCCTGCCTGCCCACAGGTCAGTACACACTGCCTGCCTACAGGTCAGTACACACTGCCTGCCTGCCCACAGGTCAGTACACACTGCCTGCCTGCCCACAGGTCAGTACACACTGCCTGCCTACAGGTCAGTACACACTGCCTGCCCACAGTTCAGTTCACACTGCCTGCCCACAGGTCAGTACACACTGCCTGCCTACAGGTCAGTACACACTGCCTGCCCACAGGTCAGTACACACTGCCTGCCTACAGGTCAGTACACACTGCCTGCCTGCCCACAGGTCAGTTCACACTGCCTGCCCACAGGTTAGTACACACTACCTGCCTGCCCACAGGTCAGTACACACTGCCTGCCTACAGGTCAGTACACACTGCCTGCCTGCCCACAGGTCAGTACACACTGCCTGCCCACAGGTCAGTACACACTGCCTGCCCACAGGTCAGTACACACTGCCTGCCCACAGGTCAGTACACACTGCCTGCCTACAGGTCAGTACACACTGCCTGCCCACAGGTCAGTACACACTGCCTGCCCACAGGTCAGTACACACTGCCTGCCTACAGGTCAGTACACACTGCCTGCCTGCCCACAGGTCAGTTCACACTGCCTGCCCACAGGTTAGTACACACTACCTGCCTGCCCACAGGTCAGTACACACTGCCTGCCCACAGGTCAGTACACACTACCTGCCTGCCCACAGGTCAGTACACACTGCCTGCCCACAGGTCAGTACACACTGCCTGCCTGCCCACAGGTCAGTACACACTGCCTGCCCACAGGTCAGTACACACTACCTGCCTGCCCACAGGTCAGTACACACTGCCTGCCTGCCCACAGGTCAGTACACACTGCCTGCCCACAGGTCAGTACACACTGCCTGCCCACAGGTCAGTACACACTGCCTGCCCACAGGTCAGTACACACTGCCTGCCTGCCCACAGGTCAGTACACACTGCCTGCCCACAGGTCAGTACACACTGCCTGCCCACAGGTCAGTACACACTGCCTGCCCACAGGTCAGTACACACTGCCTGCCCACAGGTCAGTACACACTGCCTGCCCACAGGTCAGTTCACACTGCCTGCCCACAGGTCAGTACACACTGCCTGCCCACAGGTCAGTACACACTGCCTGCCCACAGGTCAGTACACACTGCCTGCCTGCCCACAGGTCAGTACACACTGCCTGCCTGCCCACAGGTCAGTACACACTGCCTGCCTGCCCACAGGTCAGTACACACTGCCTGCCCACAGGTCAGTACACACTGCCTGCCAACAGGTCAGTATACATGCTAAATATGCAGTTTATTTCTATAAACAATGTTGCTGTTCAGCCTAATATTAAAACTAAGTAGCAAAAACAAATACTTCCTATATACTGTTAAAATGCTGTATATTTAAAATATGCAACAACATTTGAGTCATGCAACAAAACTAATGTTGTTACACAACAAAATATTGTTGTTAGATTGTTGTTATTGAAAGTTTGTGTCCTCAGGTTTTGACAGACCGCAGGATCCAACAGTTGTCTAAAAAACCTCTCCAAGCTATTGAATTTTTAGGGCCTCTAGCCAGGCTAGATCCAATTTATAAAGAAGAAGAGGAGGCTTTCAAAGTAAGGCTGATTTATAAAAAATATTTTGTTGAAAAATTAAATAAAAAGATGCATCTGCAGAATCAACAATAAAATAATCTTTAGTATTAAACTTTTAATTAAATAATTAATCAGACAGAATATTTTAAAATATACTTGGTACTAAAGAACAGATATTACAAAGCCTGTTGTCCTTACTAGTTCAATAGACATAAGATATGTGTGTTTATTCTTAGTGAACTCCCTTGTTAAAGTAGCTGCTAAAGTTATCATGTTACCAAAAATATACCAGTCACATGACCAGATGTTTACACAATATACCAGTCACATGACCAAATGTTTACACTTTCCCCAGACCTGGTACAGCAAGACCCCAATGGGCAAGAAGAGAGCAAAGGCTGCCCAGGCTGATCAAGAGGACGGGGATGGGGGAGGCAAGGACAAAAAGGGAAAGAAGGGAGGTAAAAAAGGCAAGAAGGGCGGCAAGAAAGGAAAAAAGAAGAAGTAAACTAAATTTTTCCCTTACTGTTTTCTACTGAAAGAACCTAGAACGTGGATGAAAAATTTGTTTTCTACTGTATGCGACATGCTGGAGGTTTATAAGTTTTTCTGCTGATGTAACATCAATGACATTTTCTTAGAGCACACTTGAATGGAATATCCAGTTTATAAATGGTATAGATTCTACCTGGATTTGATTGGTTTACTTTTACTCTGCAATTACTGTATTATTTAGTGTATACAATTGTAAAAATTGTTAAACAATCACATCACTGAGAATATGCAAAATTATTTTTTAGACTGGAATTACTAATTTACTGGTTCAGTATTTTACACCTGAAAATGTAAATATGATTCTGTACTACAACTTCTGTAGGCCAATATTTTTTTATACTAATTTTGTTATTGTTTAATTTTTGAAGTATTTATCTGTTACTGTGATATTTTTAAAATGGTATACAACAACTTAGACTCTTGAGAGTTGAAGTGAACTGAGGCTAACTCAAAAACAGAAGCAACCAAAATATCTGTTTTGTTTTTCTACCAACACCTGCGATGGTTTACCAGCACCTTTGATGGTGTACCAACACCTGTGATGGTGTACCAACACTTGTGATGGTGTACCAACTGGTGTACCAGCACCAGTGATGGTTTACCAGCACCTTTGATGGTGTACCAACACCTGTGATGGTGTACCAACACTTGTGATGGTGTACCAACTGGTGTACCAGCACCAGTGATGGTGTACCAACTAGTGTACCAACACCTGTGATGGTACTAAGTTTGACATCGCTCTCAAGACACTGATTGCTACATTCCTAGATGACATAGATTGTTAACTTTTGGACTGTTTGTTAACTTTTGGTCTGTTTGTTAACTTTTGGTCTGTTTGTTTTTGGACTGTTTGTTATTGTCTGTTTAAATTATGACATTGGACTGATTTTATTTTAAATACAAAACTTGTAAAAATGTGACTACAAACTACCTTGTACTTATGTTGCAATACAAATTATTATAATAAACACACAGTGATATAAGACTAGTTTGTATTATGTTTTTTCTAATTGTGCTGGGTTTTACCTTTTTTTAAGCATTAACTTATAATAAATTCTATTTGAAAGTTAGGGTAAGTTGTTGTCTATAAATAACACAGTAACCCTCACACACATCCCTAACCCTCACAAACACAACCATATCTTAACCCTCACACACACAACTATAACTTTACCCTCACACACACAACGATGACTCTAACCCACACACAACCAAAATTTTAACTTTCCCATAACATAACCAGTTTTAACATTCTCCCACGCAACCATATATCTGAGAAAAAAATCCAAAAAATTTATAATCATATAAAAAGTCACAGATTGTATGCCACTTCAACATTCTTACCCCCCCCCCCCTCCCCAACACCAACCACTGCTACAAAAGTCAGAGCTCCGCCCCCTACCCCCACACACACACCAATGACTACCACGAACGTTAGAGACCCCCTTCTCACCAATTATTACCACACAAATAGAGCCCCCCCCCCCTTCCCACCAATCAATGCTACAAAAGTAATAGCCCCCCTCCTCACCAATTATTACCACACAAATAGAGCCCCCCCTTCCCACCAATCAATGCTACAAAAGTCATAACCCCCCTCCTCACCAATTATTACCATACAAATAGAGCCCCCCCCCCCCCATTCCCACCAATCTACTCCCACGCCCTCCCTCTAATGTTTTGATTTTTTTATTACTTTTGTATTACAACCAAATCAATGTTTGAATGGTAACACTTTGTTGTTAATGTCTGAAGTTGTTGTTGCGACAGATCAACCTTATTAGGGACAGCACCTGGCATCATAGGGGAACATGTTGCAAGTTATTTTTAAACCTGTTCCCCATCATTGGGGAACATCTTCCACATCATTCAGGAACATCTTCCACATCATTCAGGAACATCTTCCACATCATTCAGGAACATCTTTCACATCATTGGAAAATTTTTCCCATCATTGGGAAACTTTTTTCCCATCATTGGGAAACTTTTTTCCCATCATTGGGAAACTTTTTTCCCATCATTGGGAAACTTTTTCACATTGGAGAGCCTGTTTTCCATCATTCTGGAACCTGTTTGTTATGTAGCCAGACAAGTGTAATTTATCGGGGACTTCTTTCTTCTATTAGAAATGTGCCCACCCGAGCAGTGTTCTTGATACACAAAGACAGACATAAAGATAAGGTTAGGTAGAGCTAGAAACAAAGACAGACATAAAGATAAGGTTAGGTAGAGCTAGAAACAAAGACAGACATAAAGATAAGGTTAGGTAGAGCTAGAAACAAAGACAGACATAAAGATAAGGTTAGGTACAGCTAGATCAGCCCGCAACAAACTTTGTTTTGTGTGGGGGTCTCCAATGTCTTGTCAGTGAAGATAACACTAAATCTCTTTATACACCACTGCCTTTACTGTATGGGCAGACCTGAAGAACACGGCAGATAAAAGAACATGCTGGCACATATACACGTCCAGAAGAACATTTTATCTGGCTGTAATCACTGCCCGTCAACACACGAAATAGACGAATTTACAAGGCGATAGATTGGACATTTCCTTAGTAAACCGTCAGTAGGACACACTCACCGGAGTCTCCAGAAAGTAAGAAATGGCAGACCAAGAAAACCAAGAGATTCGAGAGTAATAAAAGAAGAGCCCCATCCCACTCTGAAATATACCTGGTAGAATCAAAGACAGCTATATACGTGTAAAAATTATTAGCGTTTGAAAAAATTGTTTTACCAAAAAAAAATTCATTCTTATTTTATTTTCAAAGTAAATGTTACAATGTGTCAAACCTTATAACAGTGGTTCCCAACCTTTTTCGAGTAGCGACCCCCTTTTATAAAAAGTAGGTGACCCGCGACCCCCATAGAATTAAAAAGCCGAAATTAGTATGGAAATTAATAAATTTCTAGTACTTTCAATATGAACTACTCTTGATAACTGTTTTAATAGCATGAGTAAAATTGCATACTATTCACTAAACTTTCATGGTTAAGTTTTTAATTAAAACAAATTTTTGTTAACGCCAACCTATGTCATTATAATTATCTTAATTTTGTTTTTAATCGAATAATAGTGTTGAAAATATATTCTCAAAAAGTCAATCAATTTTACGTTTGGGTATGAATGGTGAATACTACACCAAAATTGTGTCTGCAGTTTTTCATCTTACTTGGAATCATTCTGCAAATCAAAGAATTAATCTTGTAATTCATAGGGAATGCTGGCAACATCAAGGGAAGAAGAGAATGGGTAATGCGTAAATGCAGATTCTTCTTTTTTCAGCTCAGAGAAATAGCAATGCAGTTCGTTTTCAAGAGATTCAAGATGCCCAGAAATCGCTTCTTTCAAAATTTTAATTATCTCACAATCAGATTCATCTACCACACCGCAGATTTTCTCAAATTTACAATATTTCCAAGATTTATTTTCTTTACCGATTTTGCAGCTGTGATAAAATGCCCCGAGATTATCATGGAAAGTGATAATATTCGTTCATTTTCCATGAAGCTTCAGGTTAAGCTTATCTTGATGTTCAAACACATCTGCTAGGTATGATACTCTCTCCAACCACTCTATGTCGTTTTAAGTGTACCAAAAAGTCTTGTTTCCTTTGCACTTCCAAGAACAATTTAATTTCAGATTTCAATTTAAAAAAAAAACAATTTATAACATTTCGTTTGACAGCGTACTGTAGTGTAGAAGAGCAGAGCCTCGTGATCTATATTAATGTTTTTGCTCAGTTCTTTGAAGGCTCCAGATTTTATATAATTTACGACTTATACTAGCAATGGACTCTTGATGTCGATTGGTTAGGGCAGTGGTTAGGGAGCTAAATCTTTTCTGTTTTCTGAAAGCCCAATTTTGACCTAAACATAGATGGCGCACCAACCGTACAAACCCCCACAGCCGTTCTAACCAATTTTAATCATCCAGTTTCAAAAAAGGTATTTATTTTCTCCATGCTATCTTCACAAAAGAGCAACTCTGCTCTGCTATCATCCGCATGAAAATAGACACAGACCAGCAGCAACTGCGAACACGAACTCACGTCTGTTGATTTATCAACTTGAAAAGCAAACAATGGTGAAAGCTTAATTTTAATAAAAATGTGTTATTTAACATTTACGTACATGCAGCGTTTGATGAGATTTTCTCCTATTGTTTTTTTTTTTTTTGCTTGGCATTTTCTATCGCTTGCACTAATGCTGGTGAAAACTTCCTGTTCGATCAAGTCTCTGGCGTTTGCAACTAGCTTCTTACCGACGAAAGAACTCCATATATTTTTTGGTATGTTCCGAATAACTCGTCTCAAATGACGTGTTAGTTTTGAAAATTTCAAAGATTCGTGACTGAGAACAACTTTGTACAGTGCGCTTTGTTTCTTCTCTATTACATTTCCAGTGATGTTAATGAAGCCGAATTTCAAAAATTCTTCTAAATATTTATGTTTTGTTTCAAATTACTAAGGTTTAGTGTACCAGTTGGCGACCCCCCAGAAAGACCTTCGCGACCCCCCTGGGGGTCGCGACCCCCAGGTTGGGAACCCGTGCCTTATAATATAAATAATTAAACCTTATTTTGGACAAGGCACATAACATTTGGTAAGATATATGTCACATAATAGGGAGGACATGTCACATACTGGGTAGGACATGTCACATACTGGGGAGGACATGTCACATACTGGGGAGGACATGTCACATAATGGGGAGGACATGTCACATACTGGGTAGGACATGTCACATACTGGGGAGGACATGTCACATACTGGGGAGGACATGTCACATAATGGGGAGGACATGTCACATAGTGGGGAGGACATGTCACATTGTGGGGAGGACATGTCACATACTGGGGAGGACATGTCAACTACTGCTGAGGACATGTCACATACTGCTGAGGACATGTCACATACTGCTGAGGACATGTCACATACTGGGGAGGACATGTCACATACTGCTGAGGACATGTCACATACTGCTGAGGACATGTCACATACTGCTGAGGACATGTCACATACTGCTGAGGACATGTCACATACTGGTGAGGACATGTCACATACTGGGGAGGACATGTCACATACTGGGGAGGACATGTCACATACTGGGGAGGACATGTCACATAGTGGTGAGGACATGTCACATAATGGGGAGGACATGTCACATAGTGGGGAGGATATGTCACATACTGGGTAGGACATGTCACATACTGGGTATGACATGTCACATAGTAGGTAGGACATGTCACATAGTGGGGAGGACATGTCACATACTGGGGAGGATATGTCACATAGTGGGTAGGACATGTCACATACTGGGTATGACATGTCACATACTGGGAAGGACATGTCACATACTAGGGAGGACATGTCACACACTGGGGAGGACATGTCACATGCTGGGGAGGACATGTCACATAGTGGGTAGGACATGTCACATAGTGGGGAGGACATGTCACATACTGGGTATGACATGTCACATACTGGGAAGGACATGTCACATACTAGGGAGGACATGTCACACACTGGGGAGGACATGTCACATGCTGGGGAGGACATGTCACATAGTGGGTAGGACATGTCACATAGTGGGGAGGACATGTCACATAGTGGGGAGGACATGTCACATACTGGGGAAGACATGTCACATACTGGGGAGGATATGTCACATAGTGGGTAGGACATGTCACATACTGGAGAGGACATGTCACATACTAGAGAGGACATGTCGGATACTGGGGAGGATATGTCACATAGTAGGTAGGACATGTCACATAGTGGGGAGGATGTCACATATTGCGTAAGACACTTAACATATCGGGTTGACGGGTAAGACAATGTAACATATCGGTGTGACATATGACATGTTGATAACAAACTTAATGTATTGGGGCAGAGATTTAAGTTCAGAATACACACAGCGTGTCAGTTGTGTTAGAAAAAACAACCTGCCAGCAAACACACCAGCAAACACACCACACGAGTGAACACGCCAGTAAATATATCTGTAAACACACAAACCAGTAAACACAACAGTGAACACACTAGTAAACACAACAATAAACACACCAGTAACCACACCAGTAAACACACCAGTAAACACACAAGTAAACACATTAGTAAACCAGTAAACACAACAGTGAACACACCAGTAAACACAACAGTAAACACAACAGTAAACACAGCAGTAAACAAAACAGTAAACAAAACAGTAAACACACCAGTAAACACAGCAGTAAACAAAACAGTAAACACACCAGTAAACACACTAGTAAACACAAAAGTAAACACACCAGTAAATACAAAAGTAAACACAGCAGTAAACACACCAGCAAACACACCAGCAAACGCACAACACGAGTGAACACACCAGTAAACACACCAGTAAACACCTGTAAACACACAAAGCAGTAAACACAACCTTGTCTATTGAAGTAGCAAGTCGATAATTGAACAAATGATAAAATGATAGACAAATCTTCACTAATACATCCATACAATTTTATTACTCAGTAACAGATGGGACCATCTTGCATTCGTTTAGCGAGTTAAATAAATAGATACAGAAGACACACTCAAAACAAGCCAAGATATTATACTTTTAGGTAAGTCTCGAACTAAACACAGATAGGCCAATATGTTAACTTTAGAAGTAGCACATTTATTTGTATAGTTAATATAGTGTAAAGTTAACATAGGTATTTTTTAAAGTTAACGGCTATATGTCATTAATGTATGTAGATATATTAGTACAGGTAATTAAGGTAATGCTAAATTATCTAAATAAAGCTACTTGTGATTAAAGAGTATATAACATCTGCTTGGGTTTGATTCTGGAAAACTTTCGAAAGATTTACCTATCTCTTGTCGATATTGATTGAAAAGTTTAGAAACTTTGTACCTCATGTCTGCTTGATGTCATTTCATGAAAATTATCTTTTGATTTAGATGACGGGTTCCAGAATTGGTTAATAGATCACAAAAATTTTTGTGTAGTTTTTTTAAACTTTAGATTTATCGAACTGTAAGGTAGTACCTAGCCCTTAGCCCAGCGGCGTTACACAAAACTACACTGCTTTACATGTTTTTAATATTCCGACCGCTAGACCTATTGTCTCAATTGCATGTAAGAGATTACTGTAATTACATGTAAGTGATTACATTTAATAACAACTCTGTAGATAATCCAATTGTTTGGCTTGTAAGCGCTAGAGTAGAACTTTCATTAATTAAACGAAATTTTAAAAAAAATATTTCAATGGTCTTGAAGCGGAAAGCTCCTGTCAACATTCACTCAAGGCTTTCATACAGCACGCTCTGGGGCGTCTGGGCGGTAGTGTGGGCAAACCCTGAGCCCCTACAACTAAGATCCAAGAAATAGTGCGCCGGTTTTATTTACATTTGATGAACTCCGTTTTAGAAAACAAGATTAAAAAATAAATAATTGTCTCATCTCTCTGGTGTGTAGGTCTAGATCTCAGCAACACGCGATGGGAACGCTAGCTCCCTATATTTTAAGAGTGTCCAATTGTTGATACAACATTATGAAGTTTGACATTGTAGACAAAAGCAACATGGCGCTTTGTTGTTAAAAGCTGAAAATAAAGGCAACTTTTATTTCCGGGGTTCAAAATAATACGTCTAAGCCATTGTTACGTGTGTGTTAATTTTTAAAATTTTAGCTCTTTCAACTTTAAAAAAAAATATGTTTAATGCGTGCGGCGTCAAAACGGCCAATGACAAAGCGGCCCCGTCAAAACGACATAACAGCCCCTTAAAACCGACCCCGTCAAAAAGGCCGGCAACAAGTGAACCCCGTCATATAGGCTCCCGACAAAACGGCTCCCGTCATTTCGACTCCCGACAAATAGGCTTAATTTATTTTGGCTTCCATAAGGGTCCTGTCAATATGGTTTCGTAGAGACTAAGTCTACCGGCGAAACGTCCTCGTTGAATATGACACCTGTCAGTGTTAAACCTCCTGCAATATTCTTTAGAGTTAGCTTAGCCAACAACTTAATAACATTATTTCTTATATTTTATCTAAGAAATGTTATGTTAAAATGAGTCGGCTGTTCCAACTCAGTGTGTGGGGAGAGACATCCATGGTGTACATTTATCTGCAGCATGCTTATTGTAGGTTATAAAAACAAAACGTTGTTTATCTTATAAACATCTTGAAAGCCTACATCATACATTTCAATTGATGTGTTCGCATCTAAGCAATATATCTTCACGGTTGTAAATAAAACAATCAAATTTAAAAAAAAAGATGGGTGGAATTTGGTTGTTCGATTTGTTTATGAAATGCTGTTTGTTCATGAAAAAGTTTTTCGTTCAGGTATTTAAATGATGTTATACTGGTAGTAGTGGAGGTAGGAACTGGGTGTGGTTGGTAGGTTGGACAAAATGGTTGCATCTATGTCAAAAGTCGTAGTCATACGATTTATTTCTCTAGAGCCAATATGTCGGGGTCGTTTTGACGTATGCACGCTTGTCAGACTGTCACCCGTGGAGGATGGAGGGGCAGACCAGGCTGGACAAGGGTCCAACCGTTTTAGGAAATTAAAAAAAAATGTGACCAGCACAGAATAATTTACTATCATTTACAAATGTTACGAAATGAATATGAAATTAAAAATGTCGTCAAGAACAGGAATTGAAATAAAGCGGGAATGATTTCACATACTTTCTTAAATAATAATTAGGGGCATGGAACTCCGTCCTTCGGCAGGCGGTGATTTTTAGGGTAATCTAGCTCGTTTTTAAGGCTATGTATACATTACGTTGATATGTATGCTCACTAAATCGAATCAGGCGCGTCTTCCGGCACCCCCAGGGTGCTATTTTAGCACCACGCGCTTTCCCGTGAGCGCCATGGCAACGTGTTTAGGGTAACCCCATCATATATTCATGGAACATAGCTGACAACACCTCCGGTTATCGTTACACCGTCCAGTTCTATAGCTACTCACACTCACTGTACACAAAACTACCTGCCAGCAAAATCACGGACTGCCACCTACCACCTACCCTAAAGCCACTTACCCCCATACCACCTACCCTAAAGCCACTTACCCCCACACCACCTACCCCAAACCACCTTCCCAAACCACCAATTCACCTAGCCGCACAGTATCCACCCACACCACTTACCCGCACACTATCCACCCCACCACACTTACCCGCACAATGTTTACCAACCCGGTAATTTAAACCCCAAACAAGTGCCCAATCCGTGACGTAACGCCCAATCAAACAGTGCAGCAGAAATGTCATGGTACCGCGACACTGCGCTATAAATAGACCAGAGTAACACAGATCGAGGCTGTAGAACGACAGCCTAATCTGGCCGTCTGGTGTCTTGTTTCCCATCCATCGTTTCCATTGGCTATCAGAGCCAAACACCAGCTGTTTGCACACAATTTACGCGGCTCGCAGCACGTAAAACACGGGCCTATTGCTGCTACATGTCGACACATGTCCCTTATCACCGGCATACACAACGCTACAGTGTTTTTAAACACAAAACAATGGTAGATCGGAAATCTAAACGAACGATGGTACACGGACAATGTGTTATGTAATAGCGGGGAGAAAATAGAAAACGGCGCACTAACAATTAGGTCGACGTGAGTTGGGTGAGTCGTGGTTGTTTTTACATTTACAGGATCCTCAGGCTTTAAGTGGACATTTAGCGGACATGTCCAACTGTTGAACTCGGTCACGTAATTGGACATTTAAGGGACATGTCCTACTGTTGAACTCGGTCACGTAATTGGACATTTGGGGGACATGTCCAACTGTTGAACTCGGTCACGTAATTGGACATTTAGGGGACATGTCAAACTGTTTAACTCGGTCACGTAATTGGACATTTAAGGGACATGTCCAACTGTTGAACTCGGTCACGTAATTGGACATTTAAGGGACATGTCCAACTGTTGAACTCGATCAAGTAATTGGACATTCGGGGGACATGTCAAACTGTTAAACTCGGTCACGTAATTGGACATTTAAGGGACATGTCCAACTGTTGAACTCGGTCACGTAATTGGACATTTAAGGGACATGTCCAACTGTTGAACTCGGTCACGTAATTGGACATTTGGGGGACATGTCCAACTGTTGAATTCGATCACGTAATTGGACATTTAAGGGACATGTCCAACTGTTGAACTCGATCAAGTAATTGGACATTCGGGGGACATGTCAAACTGTTAAACTCGGTCACGTAATTGGACATTTAAGGGACATGTCCAACTGTTGAACTCGGTCACGTAATTGGACATTTAAGGGACATGTCCAACTGTTGAACTCGGTCACGTAATTGGACATTTGGGGGACATGTCCAACTGTTGAATTCGATCACGTAATTGGACATTTAAGGGACATGTCCAACTGTTGAATTCGATCAAGTAATTGGACATTCGGGGGACATGTCAAACTGTTAAACTCGGTCACGTAATTGGACATTTAAGGGACATGTCCAACTGTTGAACTCGGTCACGTAATTGGACATTTAAGGGACATGTTCAACTGTTGAACTCGGTCATGTTTAGACTAAACTGTCCCCTACCCTCGCCTTGTAGCTGGCTGGCAGTGTGACACTAAGTTGAACAATCACCCACACTACTCAATACCGTCTAAACTTTCTGAAATTGCCTGTTTTTGCTAATTATTAGAGTGCTGGTTAAAAGCTAACTATAACCAGGGGTGGACTAGCCTGCCGGTCTACCGTGAAAATCCCGGTTGACCCACAGGAAAATATGCCGGTGGGTGCCAAGGTAATTCTTACAACTGAAATACATTGAGAATCGCTTGCGGAGCTCCTTGTGTTCAACACGCATTGAAGCCTGTACGCTTCATCCAATAGAAACTGATGTTTTAAGTGAGCTGAATAATGACGCTTCATTCAATAGAAACTGATGTTTTAAGTGAGCTGAATAATGACGCTTCATTCAATAGAAAATGATGTTTTAAGTGAGCTGAATAATGACGCTTCATCCAATAGAAACTGATGTTTTAAGTGAGCTGAATAATGACGCTTCATTCAATAGAAACTGATGTTTTAAGTGAGCTGAATAATGACGCTTCATTCAATAGAAACTGATGTTTTAAGTGAGCTGAATAATGACGCTTCATTCAATAGAAAATGATGTTTTAAGTGAGCTGAATAATGACGCTTCATCCAATAGAAACTGATGTTTTAAGTGAGCTGAATAATGACGCTTCATTCAATAGAAACTGATGTTTTAAGTGAGCTGAATAATGACGCTTCATTCAATAGAAACTGATGTTTTAAGTGAGCTGAATAATGACGCTTCATTCAATAGAAACTGATGTTTTAAGTGAGCTGAATAATGACGCTTCATCCAATAGAAACTGATGTTTTAAGTGAGCTGAATAATGACGCTTCATCCAATAGAAACTGATGTTTTAAGTGAGCTGAATAATGACGCTTCATTCAATAGAAACTGATGTTTTAAGTGAGCTGAATAATGACGCTTCATTCAATAGAAAATGATGTTTTAAGTGAGCTGAATAATGACGCTTCATTCAATAGAAACTGATGTTTTAAGTGAGCTGAATAATGACGCTTCATTCAATAGAAACTGATGTTTTAAGTGAGCTGAATAATGACGCTTCATCCAATAGAAACTGATGTTTTAAGTGAGCTGTATAATGACGCTTCATTCAATAGAAACTGATGTTTTAAGTGAGCTGAATAATGACGCTTCATTCAATAGAAACTGATGTTTTAAGTGAGCTGAATAATGACGCTTCATTCAATAGAAACTGATGTTTTAAGTGAGCTGAATAATGACGCTTCATTCAATAGAAACTGATGTTTTAAGTGAGCTGAATAATGACGCTTCATTCAATAGAAACTGATGTTTTAAGTGAGCTGAATAATGACGCTTCATTCAATAGAAACTGATGTTTTAAGTGAGCTGAATAATGACGCTTCATTCAATAGAAACTGATGTTTTAAGTGAGCTGAATAATGACGCTTCATTCAATAGAAAATGATGTTTTAAGTGAGCTGAATAATGACGCTTCATTCAATAGAAACTGATGTTTTAAGTGAGCTGAATAATGACGCTTCATTCAATAGAAACTGATGTTTTAAGTGAGCTGAATAATGACGCTTCATTCAATAGAAACTGATGTTTTAAGTGAGCTGAATAATGACGCTTCATTCAATAGAAACTGATGTTTTAAGTGAGCTGAATAATGACGCTTCATTCAATAGAAAATGATGTTTTAAGTGAGCTGAATAATGACGCTTCATTCAATAGAAACTGATGTTTTAAGTGAGCTGAATAATGACGCTTCATTCAATAGAAACTGATGTTTTAAGTGAGCTGAATAATGACGCTTCATTCAATAGAAACTGATGTTTTAAGTGAGCTGAATAATGACGCTTCATTCAATAGAAACTGATGTTTTAAGTGAGCTGAATAATGACGCTTCATTCAATAGAAACTGATGTTTTAAGTGAGCTGAATAATGACGCTTCATTCAATAGAAACTGATGTTTTAAGTGAGCTGAATAATGACGCTTCATTCAATAGAAAATGATGTTTTAAGTGAGCTGAATAATGACGCTTCATTCAATAGAAACTGATGTTTTAAGTGAGCTGAATAATGACGCTTCATTCAATAGAAACTGATGTTTTAAGTGAGCTGAATAATGACGCTTCATTCAATAGAAACTGATGTTTTAAGTGAGCTGAATAATGACGCTTCATTCAATAGAAACTGATGTTTTAAGTGAGCTGAATAATGACGCTTCATTCAATAGAAAATGATGTTTTAAGTGAGCTGAATAATGACGCTTCATTCAATAGAAACTGATGTTTTAAGTGAGCTGAATAATGACGCTTCATTCAATAGAAACTGATGTTTTAAGTGAGCTGAATAATGACGCTTCATTCAATAGAAACTGATGTTTTAAGTGAGCTGTATAATGACGCTTCATTCAATAGAAACTGATGTTTTAAGTGAGCTGAATAATGACGCTTCATTCAATAGAAACTGATGTTTTAAGTGAGCTGAATAATGACGCTTCATTCAATAGAAACTGATGTTTTAAGTGAGCTGAATAATGACGCTTCATTCAATAGAAACTGATGTTTTAAGTGAGCTGTATAATGACGCTTCATTCAATAGAAACTGATGTTTTAAGTGAGCTGTATAATGACGCTTCATTCAATAGAAACTGATGTTTTAAGTGAGCTGAATAATGACGCTTCATTCAATAGAAACTGATGTTTTAAGTGAGCTGAATAATGACGCTTCATTCAATAGAAACTGATGTTTTAAGTGAGCTGTATAATGACGCTTCATTCAATAGAAACTGATGTTTTAAGTGAGCTGAATAATGACGCTTCATTCAATAGAAACTGATGTTTTAAGTGAGCTGTATAATGACGCTTCATTCAATAGAAACTGATGTTTTAAGTGAGCTGAATAATGACGCTTTATTCAATAGAAACTGATGTTTTAAGTGAGCTGTATAATGACGCTTCATTCAATAGAAACTGATGTTTTAAGTGAGCTGAATAATGACGCTTCATTCAATAGAAACTGATGTTTTAAGTGAGCTGAATAATGACGCTTCATTCAATAGAAACTGATGTTTTAAGTGAGCTGAATAATGACGCTTCATTCAATAGAAAATGATGTTTTAAGTGAGCTGAATAATGACGCTTCATTCAATAGAAACTGATGTTTTAAGTGAGCTGAATAATGACGCTTCATTCAATAGAAACTGATGTTTTAAGTGAGCTGAATAATGACGCTTCATTCAATAGAAAATGATGTTTTAAGTGAGCTGAATAATGACGCTTCATTCAATAGAAACTGATGTTTTAAGTGAGCTGTATAATGACGCTTCATCCAATAGAAACTGATGTTTTAAGTGAGCTGAATAATGACGCTTCATCCAATAGAAACTGATGTTTTAAGTGAGCTGAATAATGACGCTTCATTCAATAGAAACTGATGTTTTAAGTGAGCTGAATAATGACGCTTCATTCAATAGAAACTGATGTTTTAAGTGAGCTGAATAATGACGCTTCATTCAATAGAAAATGATGTTTTAAGTGAGCTGAATAATGACGCTTCATTCAATAGAAACTGATGTTTTAAGTGAGCTGAATAATGACACCATTTTAGACCATATATCCGAAATGATGCCCGGCTTAAAGAACTAGTTGCTTATACTATAGCTTATTTTATTATAATATCTCGGGCCTCTTCAATACAGCCGTCTACCCCTGGCTAAACAAACAACCAATCCCCCAATCACTTGTCTACAAACCGCATATATTTTTACCTGGATTTTTCCGTGTGAAATTCAAGGAAACCAAAAATTCAGCCTCGGTCAGTTTAAAAACGAGTTGAGTTGTATGTAGACGGCCTTGGTTGCTGCATCTATTACAGGCTAGAGAACTGTCTAAAAACTTAAGTGGCAAACATCAGTGTGAGTAAATGTTTGGTTGATCTAAATACCGTACGTACACACTAAAAATAATTGAAAATAAAAGTATTCCATCCTAACCTTAGCCCTTAACCGATTCCTACCCCAACCCCAACCCTAACCCCACAAAGTTAGCCACATAGAATGCCGTGGTCCATGATTGCCTCATTTCATCACGTATGGCCAACGTTAGCCACATAGAATGCCGTGGCCTATGATAGAGGGCCGTGTATTGTATAACTCACGGCCAACGTTTGCCTCAATGCGGGCCTCACAAACAGTCCCTTGCACGTACATTCAGAGTTGTGTGTGTGTGAGTGTGTATGTGTGTGTATGTGTGTGTTCTGATTGTAACAAAGCGATCTTGTCGTTTTTTTTTTACTGTATCATGTGCATAGAGGTCTATACATTTTATCAACATGTGGTTTGTTTAAATAGTTCCGAGGTTTTTCTTTATACGGTAATGTACATACGTATATATACATATATATATATATATATATATATATATATATATATATATATATATACGAGGTATAGCCATATGGCCAATGTATTTATTGCCAATATATACTTATCATACCCCCTCCCACCGTCTCTTGATGTATACTAATCTGATTGATCGATAAACGCTATGTTGTCGAATGTTGTTGTAACAAAATTAATGACTTAAGAAGTGAAAAATCGATCGTCAGCCTCCAGTTAATTGTTATGATAGTTATGTAAGTTTGACAATTACAATTTTTACAATGTTACGATTTATCATAAGACACCTAACCAATTATTTGTTAACCTACCAAGCTACTCAGTGATCCTATTGATTGAGTCCAAGGTTAACGACTAGTTCTAATGAAGATATAATAAGCATTTTTTTTCCAGTAAACATAAGATGTGATGATAATTTCTAATTAAGGTGTAACTAGTATTATCCACTATTTAAGATTTAACAAATATTGATCTATAATTAAAATAAATCAAGATTTATCTCCTAATTAAGGTTTAACAAGCATTATTTGAAATGCTTTTTTTACATATGGTCGATTTTAAATCGTTTTAATGGTAATTACAATGTTACATACCTATTGAGTATACAACTTTTATCAACTCGCCACTGATAGTCAGCAAGGCATGATATGTTTTCTGTGCATGTTGGTTAAATAAAGCCCCATTTCTTCATTTCTAAACTATTGGTTAATGAAGCGTTTATCAAGTGGTCACTTCATTTCTAAACTGTAGTTTAATAAAGGCCCTACCAAGAACATTGCTGACACATTTTATGAATCTACTGTTTGAGTGGGATAAAATTAATGTGTGTGACAACAGCACAGGCCAAGTTGTGGAGGTGCAGGTACCAAGTTCATTCAATCATGTCTTTCGTGTGTTCAGCCAAAACTTAGTTCCAAATCGATAACATTGACACAATCAGCTAAAGATTAATGAAATGTAGCGGGATTCAACGTAGTCTGTGTAGTATGTGTCTGCTATATTTTATCCGTTGCTATACCATTCGTGTAAGTTGTCTATGTAAGATGTGTAAGTTGTCTATGTAAGATGTGTCTGTCATATTTTAACAGTTGCTCTACCATTCGTGTAAGTTGTCTATGTAAAATGTGTCTGCCATATTTTAACAGTTGCTCTACCGTTCGTGTTAGTTGACTATGTAAGATGTGTTTGTGATATTTTAACCCTTGATCTACTATTCGTGTAAGTTGTCTATGTAAAATGTGTCTGCCATATTTTATCCTTTGCTCTACCATTCATGTAAGTTGTCTATGTAAGATGTGTCTGCCATATTTTATTAGTTGCTCTACCATTCGAGTAAGTTGTTAGTCAACAAGTCGTCGGGTTGATATCTACACTGGCTCTGTTCAGTTCTGACTCAATAACTAATCCAATTTAAATAGTTTCCACTCCACTTATTAGTAGAAGTTTTGATTTAAAGAAATAGATTTAATACCCAAATCTTGAAGTCTGCTAGAATCTCCTAAACCAAGAAAACATTGAGCACACGCTGAAAAGGAAAACTTTCAGTTTTATTCAATTTTCACCTATGTCTGGGTAGTCTTAAACCGTTTCTGCGCCACAAGTGTCCGTTTAATTATCTTCCTCCATTCACCCATGTCCTTGTCATCTTCAGTGCCACTCTCCTAGCATTAAGCCATTCCAGTCTCGTGATGTTGTCTCCCCTTCTTTTCTTCTGATTAATTCCTTTTTTGATTACCGTATACTTTCGTCTTTTAAAATCTGTAGCTTTTTTACAATCACTGATGAGAATAAAAATATGTTACCAGTCATAAGATGTATTGATATCAAACTTTTAATATTCGTTTCATCAAGACCATTTATGAATGGCAGTTTACTTTTTATAGAACATACCTGTACACACCTGTACACACCTGTAACACACCTGTACACACACACACAGCCACACACATATACAGATAGATAAGCTGACACCTGTATGTGCACTCACCGCTCCCTCCCCCCCCCCCCAAAAAAAAACCTGCGCACGCCCACAACTTTGACTATGACATCACATCATATTGATTCATTCAACAGCTGTATTGTTTCACAGAAGTGAGTAGCACAACAGGCACTTCACACACACTTTCTATATGTATGAATATAATATGTATATATATATACATATTATATATAAGTATACATATATATATATATATATATATATATATATATATATATATATATATATATATATATATATATATATATATATACCAATAAGAGCCAACGAATGTTCCAGAACGCTGCCTCTATGCCATGTATCTTCTCCTGGTGATCCTGCTGTGTGTGCCGTGGCTGGTGTCTGTAGGACAGGTGTCTGGCATGCAAGAGGTCTGGTGCCCGTCTGATGACCACGAGTGTAGCTTCGATCTGGTCGTCGACTACGGCTTGACCTTGATGTGGAGGTCAAAGCTGGCCAAGGTCATCGATGGACATCTCTACCTGTAGGTTACTCTTAGCTGTCCTGTTAGGTCCTACCCTACTGTCCTCTTAGGCCCTACCCTACTGTCCTCTTAGGTCCTACCCTACTATCCTCTTAGGTCCTACCCTACTGTCCTCTTAGGTCCTACCCTACTGTCCTATTAGGACCTACCCTACTGTCCTCTTAGGTCCTACCCTACTGTCCTTTTAGGTCCTACCCTACTGTCCTTTTAGGTCCTACCCTACTGTCCTTTTAGGTCCTACCCTACAGTCCACTTAGGTCTTACCCTACTGTCCTCTTAGGTCCTACCATTCTGTCCCCTTAGGTACTACCCTAATGTCCTCTTAGGTCATACCCTACTGTCCTGTTTGTCATACTCTTTTAAGTCCTTCTCCAAGGTCCTCTCCCACTCTACTGTCCTCTTGTTTCTATTATTACTCCGCAGGTTCGACGTCACGAATACGTCACAAGAAACGGAGATTCCCCTTGATGACGTCATCACGGCTGATGGCTACGACGAGCCGCGGTTTGTGATGACGTTTAACGGGACCATACCAGGCCCCGCCCTGCACGTGACCAGTGGTCAGGTGGTCAGGCTCAGGGTACACAACAACATGATGCACGTGAGTTTAAGCCGGAATTGTGTGTTTTCCAACTGTGCACTGCTCCTGTGTCTATTTATAGCCACTAACTTAATAGTTTAGCATTCAGAAGCAAAAAACCTCGAACTAATAATATATTTTCTCACGATCTATGACAGACCACAAGTACTAATAATGACTTGTATCACGCTTTTTGAAAGACCACACATACCAGTAATGACTTGTTTCCCGAAGTAAAAACCACAAGTGATAGTAATGACTTACTTCACTTCAAAAGAACACTTTTTGTCAGTAATAGCTTGAATCACGTTCTTTGAAAGAACACACGTGATAGTTATGATTTGTTTTCCGCTGTGTGAAAGACCACAAATACCAGTAATGCCTTGTTCCCCCCCCCCCCCACCCCCAGGAGACGACGTCCGTCCACATACACGGCCAATACCAACGAGGGACACCGTTTAGTGACGGGGTGCCTTACGTCACACAGTGTCCTATCTTACCTGGACAAATCTTCGAGCAGGTGTTCGTGTGAGTACTTCATGTCACGTGGCTGACTGTGTGTGGGGCACTTCTCATGTTACTAATCGAGTGATTCTTGAATCAGAGCTTCTAAATGTTGATACGCCTTACTAATTAATCTTTCCTTCACATTGATGCTACTAAAAGCTAATACTAATGAATCTATCTGCCATATTGTGGTTAATGAATCTCTCCGCCATATTGATGTTAATTAATCTCTCCGCCATATTGATGTTAATGAATCTCTCCTCCATATTGATGCTAATTAATCTCTCCTCCATATTGATGTTAATTAATCTCTCCGCCATATTGATGTTAATGAACCTTCCCCAGAGCCGACCCCCAGGGGTCATTCTTCTACCACTCCCACAGCGGTCCCCAGATGACCAACGGACTGTACGGAGCCTTCATCGTCCATCCCAGGTCAGGTGTATGTCATGTCCAGCTTGACCGTTAGTATCATGGTATCATGATTGTATCATGATGGTATCGTGATGGTATCTTGATATCGTAGTGTTATCATGGTGGTATCTTGATATGTAGTATCATGATGGTATACACATATTATGGTGGTATACAGATGGTATCTAAATTGTACCATGATGGTATCAACATCATAATATTATCAAGATAGTATTATAATGGTGTGATGATGGTATAAAGACGGTATCGTGATATTTTATTGAGGGTATGGCGCTAACATGATGGTATGAAGCTTTTGAACACAATCATAGAAAATTATTCTGTTTTAAAGGCATGTTGATCTTTTAGACTTCAACCACAAGTCACAAGTAATTGCGGTGACCAAAATCACGTGACAGATATGATTTTAATAAGACACCAATCTATTTACATAAACAACATATGTAATGGTCTGATGCAAATCAAATTAATTCATCAATAACGATCACTTTAAATCAGCTGTTTTAATTCGACATAGATACCGCTGACAATATTTAATGATAAGCATCGCACATTCACAATTCTATTTATAAATAGTCCTTGCTATATTTACCTATGATTGCCTGGTGAGTACACTTTTGACCATGTGCATGTAATGTCTGCCAGGGTGAGTCAGGGGTCTGCGACCAGTGCCACCCAGCTGCCGGCCGTGGAGATGGACGAACACATCCTGATGGTCCAGGACTGGAATCATGACTGGGATTCGAACCTCATGACAGCCAAGATGAGGTTCGGCATATTTTCGGGCGGGCAGAAATACAAGAGTACAATGACTCACGCTGGGGTCAGATACAGGTAAATTCTATGTAGTCATAGTCTGTCTAAAATACAGGTAAATTCTCTGCTGTCATAGTCTGTTTAAAATACAGGTACATTTTGGCAGCTCATCAAGATAAAGAGTATATACTTACATACATTGCTTGCAAATGTAACTAATAAGATAACAGCAATTTTCCCCGCTAAAAAATGTTATAGAACAAAAAGTGTGTTGCCGAAATATAGTAAAACGATTTTATTTCCCTTAACAAAATAGAAAAAAAATGGTTGCTTCAAAGGTGGCATAATGTGTCCAGTGTCTTGCTCACACTGACCCCAATTACCCAGTGACGTCATAAAGAAGTGAAGTGGGTTACCTAGTGACGTCATGCAGGTTTACTCACGTTCTGGGTCACACAGTGACGTCATACTGACCATCGTAAGATCTGTGACACAGTGAAGTCAATTAAACACGTAGATTCTGGTTTACACTGAGGTTATACAAGACTTACGTAAGTTCTGGTGACGTAGTGACGTCCAATATAAAGTTCACAACCGTCTAGCTCAAGTATTCTATGCACTACTACAACGTAATACGTTTAATTATAAATCACCCAATGAAGTACGACTAAATTAGTTTTCCTTTTACCCTCTCTCCCCACCTCTCTATTGACTCTAGGATGGACCTTCTCGTATACTATAGCCTATACATTATGTATACATATATATGTATGTCTGTGTGTCGTGTCTCTGTGTGTGTCTTTGTCTGTGTAGACCAGGGGTCTCCAAACTACGGCCCGCGGGCCGTATGCGGCCCGCGAAGTCCTCTCATCCGGCCCGCTGAGATCTTTTGTCCAAGGAAAAAAACGTTTCTTGGTGATGGCTGAGGAAATTTGCCCAGAAAAATCACATGTCTGGAAGAAACTGGCCCCCTAACTGAAATTTGATAGTTAATGCGGCCCTCGGACTGAAAAGCTTGGAGACCCCTGGTGTAGACCATAGATTTGTGAATTTTGATGTGACGTGTATTGTCATGACAACAGTACAATCTTGGAACACAACTGATTAAAGCAACCAGGTGATGTGTAGAACTATAAAACCTCAGCTATGGTTGATCTCGAATGTTTATCTCATCATACGTCCATGTCACGTGATACTTTTACTTATGTCACTGTGACCTGGACTAGAACAGACATATATATATATATATATATATATATATATATATATATATATATATATATATATATATATATATATATATATATATATATATACATATATATATATATATATATATATATATGTATATATATATAATATTTACATCATGATATTTATGTAGATAGGTATAAATATTTAAGTGTCAGTTATCATTATCTTTCGTATTGCATCTCCTGAACTTTGAGTGAACTAACAGTTTATCTGATGTATCTGTTGACTAAATGTAGCTATGACGCTTGGCAATGTACTGAGGGACAAATATTCAAAGTGGTTTAGTTTATGTGTGGGTAGTGTGGTGTGGTAAGGGTGGTGTGGTGTGGTGTGGTAAGGGTGGTGTGGTGTGGTGTGGTAAGGGTGGTGTGGTGTGGTGTGGTAAGGGTGGTGTGGTGTGGTGTGGTAAGGGTGGTGTGGTGGGGAATGTACCTGGATTCCTTTAATGGCCATAGCTCTTTAGCACTGTTAAATTAATTAATTAGTTGAATGTGACGTAAATCAAAGCTCGTGGGTTGCTGGTTATCGCTACATTTCTTTCTTTCTCATCAACCTTTTACAACATATACATATAACTTAAAACCTTAGCCAGGCACCCCTACACAAGACACACACACACACCCCTACCTCCGACCCATACACACCTACCTACCTCCGACCCACACACACCTACCTCCGACCCACACACACCCCTACCTCCGACCCACACACACCCCTACCTCCGACCCACACACACCTACCTACCTCCGACCCACACACACACCTACCTCCGACCCACACACACCTACCTACCTCCGACCCACACACACCTACCTCCGACCCACACACACCCCTACCTCCGACCCACACACACCTACCTACCTCCGACCCACACACACCCCTACCTCCGACCCACACACACCTACCTACCTCCGACCCACACACACCCCTACCTCCGACCCACACACACACCTACCTCCGACCCACACACACCTACCTACCTCCGACCCACACACAAACCTACTTCCGACTCCCACACACCTCTACCTCCGACACACACACACACACACCTACCTACCTCCGACCCACACACACACACACATACCTACGACACACACACACCTACCTACCTCCGACACACACACACACACATACCTACGACACACACACACCTACCTACCTCCGACCCCCACACACACACACCTACCTCCGACACACACACACACACCTACCTCCGACACACACACACACCTACCTCCGACACACACACACCTACCTCCGACACACACAAACCTACCTCCGACTCCCACACACCTCTACCTCCGACACACACACACACACCTACCTACCTCCGACCCACACACACACCTACCTCCGACACACACAAACCTACCTCCGACTCCCACACACCCCTACCTCCGACACACACACACACACCTACCTCCGACCCACACACACACCTACCTCCGACACACACAAACCTACCTCCGACTCCCACACACCCCTACCTCCGACCCACACACACACCTACCTCCGACCCACACACACACACCTACCTCCGACCCACACACGCACACCTACCTCCGACCCACACACAGCCCTACCTCCGACCCACACACGCACACCTACCTCCGACCCACACACAGCCCTACCTCCGACCCACACACAGCCCTACCTCCGACCCACACACGCACACCTACCTCCGACCCACACACACCTACCTACCTCCGACCCACACACACACCTACCTCCGACCCACACACGCACACCTACCTCCGACCCACACACAGCCCTACCTCCGACCCACACACACACCTACCTCCGACCCACACACGCACACCTACCTCCGACCCACACACACCTACCTACCTCCGACCCACACACGCACACCTACCTCCGACCCACACACACCTACCTACCTCCGACCCACACACACACCTACCTCCGACCCACACACGCACACCTACCTCCGACCCACACACAGCCCTACCTCCGACCCACACACACACCTACCTCCGACCCACACACGCACACCTACCTCCGACCCACACACGCACACCTACCTCCGACCCACACACACAGCCCTACCTCCGACCCACACACAGCCCTACCTTCGAACCACACACAAACCTATCTTCACACCCACACATAAAAACAGCCCTTCAACGCCCTACAAACATATGCTCCGTGTATCAGTTCTGCGAGTTCTTAATGTTTTCATTTTTATTACCAGGCCAGGAACCATAACCCAAACAAATCTTATCTTCCCATATAATACAGTGGTTTCCCCTTTCACTCCGGCCTCATTAACGGCAGAGGGCGTTTTTACAGCGTTGATGGTAACCATAACAACGCTCCTTTGTCAGCTTTTAATGTAACATCAGGGAAAAAATACAGGTAAGAAGTACTTTTTCATTACCTGTCTTAATGAATCCAGGTTAATTAGTAATCAAGATGTTTACCCTCTAATGCGCATCATTTAACCGAACATTTTGGCTATCTTGACGTTAGTGTAACTACATCAGGTAGCAAAGGTGTAGCTACATCAGGTAGCAGTGGGTGTAGCTACAGTAGCTACAGCAGGTAGAAGTAGGTGTAGCTAAAGCAGGCAACAGTGGATGTAGCTACATCAGGTAGCAGTGTGTGTAACTACAACTAGCAGTATTAGATGTAGCTAAATGGAGTGGATGTAGCTTAAATAATAACATCGGTTTGAAATTTTTTCAAAGATGAGAAAAAAATATCAAGACTATTTATGTAGTATTTTACAACGTCCATAAAGACTTGATTGTGGGGGGGGGGGGGGGGCTTTGATTTTTGTAAATATTCGATGACTTTGTTGTTATTACTATTTTAGGCAACTAAAAAGTAAGTTAAAATTGATTTGTTGCCCTTGCCGCACGTGTCACGATAATAAAAACAAAAAGTTTGACGTTCGGTTGTATAAATCAAATAAAAGCCAAAAACATACAAACTAAAGTATGGATTTTAATAACAAGTTTTACAGCAGGAAAAGCGTGATGCTTTAAAACATTTTCAAATGCCGCGAATCAAAATACTTACGGGAAGTGAAAGGGTCTTGTTGTACAAAACAATGGTGGATGTCAGTAAATAATCCCGCCCTAGTTACGAGCTGAGAGCTGGACTTCGACTAACGCTAACCGTTTTAGCCCTAACCCAAACTGTTGTCTTAATCTTGGCAGTGTAGAAAATGTTAACCCTAACCCCACAGGTTTAGACTGTTTAACCCCACAGGTTTAGACTGTTTAACGCTAACCCCACAGGTTTAGACTGTTTAACCCAAGCGACATCTACCCGTTCCGCGTGTCTGTAGACTCCCATCGTCTGCTCGTGACGTCAACAGACGGCAATGACGTCATCCCGGTCTCGGTCCAGTCCATCATCATCCACCCAGGAGAAAGATTTGACGTCATCATAGAGGCTTCCCAGCCCGTGAGCAACTACTGGATTAGGGGGGTCACACTGGAGGTAAAGGGGGTTATCAGTGAACTACTGGATTAGGGGGGGGGGGGGGTCACACTGGTGGTAAGGGGGGTTATCAGTGAACTACTGGATTAGGGGGGTCGCATTGGAGGTGAGGGGGTTATCAGTGAACTACTGGATTAGGGGGGTCGCATTGGAGGTGAGGGGGTTATCAGTGAACTACTGGATTAGGGGGGTCGCATTGGAGGTGAGGGGGTTATCAGTGAACTACTGGATTAGGGGGGTCGCATTGGAGGTGAGGGGGTTATCAGTGAAATACTGGATTAGGGGGGGTCACATTGGAGGTGAGGGGGTTATCAGTGAACTACTGGATTAGGGGGGTCACATTGGAGGTGAGGGGGTTATCAGTGAACTACTGGATTAGGGGGGGGGGGGTCACACTAGAGGTGAGGGGGGTTATCAATTTATTTTAACACATACACAAGTATGTGTGATTGTGTGTATGTGCGTGTGGGTGTGCGTGTGATGAGAAATTTTAAAACTGGATGCAAAACAGCAGCCCCCTAAAACACATCACAATGCACATATTAACATTCAAATATAGTCGCTCATCAAGATGGCATAGAGATCGATAAAATACGTTGTAATAACTGCTTAGAATTCGATTCTTTGACAATGTTGCTGTTGTATTACAAATGTACTTGTGATGATTATTATATTTCTTATATAAATAACACATTATGAATAGGTTAGCTGGAATGAAGTATATGTTTTAACCCAATAGTGACAGTGATACATCACAGTTCCATCACATGAAACCATGATGTCACCTGTAGAACTTGACATTTCAGATCAACGTAAACCACACAGCTGAAGCTATACTTCACTACCAGGGGGCGCCAGAAGGATTCGAACCCACGACCACGGACTGGGCCTGCTCCCCGGACGAGCCGTGTCGGGTGTTAAACTGTCCCTTCATGTTCTACCCCTCTGGTGCTCACACGATGTGTCTCAACGTCGACAAGATGCAGGCTGCGGAGGCTAGACTTTTACAGGTAGCAGGGTAGCTACAGGTGGTAGCAGGGTAGCTATAGCAGGTAGCAGGGTAGCTATAGCAGGTAGCAGGGGCTGTAGCTACATCTGGTAGCAGGGTACATACAGGAGGTAGCTGGGTAGCTATAGCAGGTAGCAGGGGCTGTAGCTACATCTGGTAGCAGTGGGTGTAACTACATCTGGTAGCAGGGTAGATACAGGAGGTAGCAGGGTAGTCACAGGTGTAGCAGGGTAGCTACAGAAGGTAGCAGTAGGTGTAGCTGCAGGTGGTAGCAGGGTAGCTACAGGTGGTATATCTACAGGTGGTAGCAGTAGCAGTAGCTGCAAAAGGTAGCACGACGGGATTTAGCTATAGCAATAAATAAACCGTTCAGCTACGGCTAGGAATAGTGGGTTTAGTTACAGCTAAAAGTAGAAGGTTAAGCTATAGCTAATAGTGGATGTAGGTAGGACTAGAAGTGCTGTTTTTAGTTATAGCTAGTAGCACTAGGTAAAGCGACATCAGATAGCAGTAGGTGTAGCTACAGCAGGTAGCATCAATCGCTGCAGCCAGCTATGTGACCAGGAACCAATCTACGTACTTTATCCCCCCCAGCCTGAAAAAGACCGGGGTGTCGTTGAATTTTTCCTCAACTTTGGCTTTCCTGGGCACCACGAGACTCCGTCCTCGGTCAACGGGAGGGCCTTCGTCAGTCAGGTGGTGAACCCTTTGGCCAAGGTGAGATAGAGAGATAGATGGTGAGATAGTGAGATAGATAGTGAGATAGTGAGATAGATAGTGAGATAGATGGTGAGATAGATGGTGAGATAGATGGTGAGATAGATGGTGAGATAGATAGTGAGATAGTGATTCCTCGGTCAACGGGAGGGCCTTCGTTAGCCAGGTGGTGAACCCTTTAGCCAAGGTGAGATAGATAGTGAGATAGTGAGATAGATAGTGAGTCCTCAGTCAACGGGAGGACCTTCGTCAGCCAGGTGGTGAACCCTTTGGCCAAGGTGAGATAGATAGTGAGATGGTGAGATAGATGGTGAGGTTGTGAGATAGTTACAGAGATAGACTTATGTACAAATCTTTCATGTGATTTCATGTATGAGTGAAGTACATCAGCTGAGATGTTAATATTGGGACAAAATTCACTCATAGCTCTCTACACGGGCACATAATGTTTATATTTGTGTGTGTGGTAATGTGGTGTATGTTGATGTATTTTGACGCCACCTCTCCCCTCCCTCTCCAGAGCAACCACCCCCTGAAGACCTGCGACAGAGAGGATTGTGGGAACAACAAGGTCTGCCACTGCCCCTATCACGTGACCTACTCTCAGGGTGACCTGGTGCAGCTGGTGCTGCTCAACATGGGCCAGGGCAGCGGCTGGGACCATCCGGTGCACATGCACGGGCACTCGTTTCAGGTGGGTCAGGGGGTCAGTAGGTCAGGGGGTCAGGGGGTCAGGGGGTCAGTAGGTCAGGTAGGTGGGTGGGCAGCGGCTGGGACCATCCGGTGCACATGCACGGGCACTCGTTTCAGGTGGGTCGGTAGGTCAGTAGGTCCGGGGGTCAGTAGGTCAGGGGGTCAGTAGGTCAGGTAGGTGGGTGGGCAGCGGCTGGGACCATCCGGTGCACATGCACGGGCACTCGTTTCAGGTGGGTCAGGGGGTCAGTAGGTCAGGGGGTCAGTAGGTCAGGTAGGTGGGTGGCAGAGGCTGGGACCATCCGGTGCACATGCACGGACACTCGTTTCAGGTGGGTTAGTAGGTCAGGGGGTCAGGGGTTCAGGGGTGGGTGAGTAGGTCAGGTAGGTGGGTGGGCAGAGGCTGGGACCATCCGGTGCACATGCACGGACACTCGTTTCAGGTGGGTTAGTAGGTCAGGGGGTCAGGGGGTCAGGGGTGGGTGAGTAGGTCAGGTAGGTGGGTGGGCAGAGGCTGGGACCATCCGGTGCACATGCACGGACACTCGTTTCAGGTGGGTCAGTAGGTCAGGGGGTCAGGGTGGGCAGAGACTGGGACCATCCAATGCACATGCACGGGCACTCGTTTCAGGTAGGTCAGGTAGGTGGGTCAGTAGGTCAGGGGGTCAGTAGGTCAGGTAGGTGGGTCAGTAGGTCAGGTGGATCGGTCAGTATGTCAGGTGGGTGAGTGACTCTGATAGTAGGTCAGTAGATCAGGTGGGTGTGTCAGAAGGTTAGGTTGGAGTAGGTCAGAAAATTGGGAAGTAGGTCAGGAGGTGGTTGAGTAGTAGGGAGACTGACTAGGATGTAGTTAAATGGATAGATGGATAGGCTGTTGAAAACGTCGAGTCTGAGGTGACTGGCCTACTGGTGAGTGTGGTGTGAGGGTATTTCTATAGGGGGTAGAGTTGCTTGCTGGTTGTGTGGGTGGACGAACCAGCATGTTAGGAGATGTTGAACTATTTCTTCTACCATAATCACCACCAGTAACAACAACAACAACCACCACCACAAACATTACCAAAACCATCACCACCATAACCACCACAACCACAACCACCTCCAACACCATTACCTGAACCACTACCATCACTACCACCACCATTATCATCACCATCACCACTACCACCACCACCATCATCACCACCATCACCACCCACGTCATCAGGTAGTCAAGATGGGCTACCCAACCTACAACAGCAGCACCGGACAATTTGTTGCGGAGAATCCGGACATTGACTGCGGCCCCGGCACACAAGGCATGCCAAGCTTCTGCAACTCTGCCAGGTGGGCCAACACATCCTGGGAATCGGGCGCTGTCCCGGGGGTGGAGCTGGAGCGGGCCCCGATAAAGGACACGGTCGTGGTGCCCTCTGGAGGATATGTCGTCATCAGGTTCAAGGTTGGCGCCTTACTATCTGACATAAACAATAATTTAGGACAATAAGACTTTGACAAAATGTTTACAGCCAGGTATATGGTAATGGTTACAGAATACCATGAGATTTTATCTAAGACTAATTTTTGTTTTAAGTTTAATGATTCTAGACTAATATCTATCTGTTGCAGGCCGATAATCCGGGATTATGGTTAATCCACTGCCACCTTGAGCTCCACATGACCGACGGCATGGTGGCGCTGTTGAACGAGTCCTACAGCCAGTGGCCGAGTCCACCGGAAAACTTCCCGACCTGCGGTCATTACTTTGGTACGAATGTGCTGCCCAAACCACAACATCATTTGTCCAATACTTTGGTATGTGTCGTCCCCACATCATATGTCCACTACTTTGGTATGTGTCGTCCCCACATCATATGTCCATTACTTTGGTACGAATGTGCTGCCCACACTACAACATCATATGTCCACTACTTTGGTATGTGTCGTCCCCACATCATTTGTCCATTACTTTGGTATGTGTCGTCCCCACATCATATGTCCACTACTTTGTGCTGACTCCACACCATTTATCCACTGCTTTGGTATGTGTTGTCTACATAACAACAACATTATTTGCTACAACAACAATAACACTTTTTTATCCTGTTTACCACGGTTACTCAAGTGAAGTTATATTTCAAAACAAAGAAGTAGCTGTACATATGTAGACTGTATCTATGTATGTATGTATGTATTAGTGTATGTATTTACAATGTCCTGCTTTTTTCTAGATACCACAAGTAGCCGAATGATAAATCTACAAAAATATGGACCAAGATGACGTCACTTCACGCTATTAGGTCAAGGGTGACGTCATGTAAAAAAACTCGAACAAACATGACGTCACTGTGTACAGAAATACGAGTTAATGCTATAAAGACGTCATGCTACTTCTGTGATATTTATAGATTTGGTTGTCTATAATGTAATAAATGTTATTGTATGAATATTTTAATTGAACTGCCCCGTACTCCTCTCTATTGCTTGATATAGATTATAGAAAGCGATTGTAACTTTTAAGCTAACAATTTAAATAAAAGTGTCGATTTCTGTAGAAAGTGCAGAAGAAAGGGTTGTGAGAGAAATGGGTTGTGAGTGAAATGGGTTGGAAGTGAGGATTGAGAGGGGAGGGACTGTGTAGGGCTGGGATGCAATATTAGGGACCATTTACTATTTAGAGATCTTAACGTGGGAGCATCGCGTCTCCTTGCCTCACCCCCCCCCCACCCCCCGTCAAGATGTTTTTCCACATCACTAATATTGTCCTGATATTGTCCTGATATTGTCCTGATATTGTCCTGATATTGTCCTGATATTGTCCTGATATTGTTATGATATTGTCCCGATATTGTCCTGATATTGTCCTGATATTGTCCCGATATTGTCCTGATAGTGTCCTGATATTGTCCTGATATTGTCCTGATATTGTCCTGATATTGTCCTAATATTGTCCTGATATTGTCCTAAAATTGTCCTGATATTGTCCTAATATTGTCCTGATATTGTCCTAATATTGTCCTGATATTGTCCTAATATTGTCCTGATATTGTCCTAAAATTGTCCTGATATTGTCCTAATATTGTCCTGATATTGTCCTGAAATTGTCCTATTGCTCGCCTTAAAGTCCAACTTTAACACTATACTTTATGCCGCTTTACGTTAAGAGAAAATGTGCATTGTGTTCAGCTTTTTGAATGCCGTAAAAACCGGCTGAGATAAACGATGATGTAAACAATGATTATCCAATCAAATGTTAGGGCTGTCAAATCTTTAAGCACAGCACAAGGGGCAAAAAATGAACGCAGTAAAAAGGTTGGAATAGGATGCAGTAAAAAGTTTGGAATAGAAGGCAGTAAAAAATGAAACCGCATGAATGTTTTGCAGCGTTTTTAAACAGCGAGGTAAAAATGGCGAGAGGAAGAAAGGAACGGCAATTAAATGAATTGTTCGTGGGGAGGGGCAGCTCAATTGTTCGTGGGGAGGGGCAGCTCAATTGTTGTGGAATCAAAAGGTCAAACGCCGTGTTTTTTCAGGCATCTCTCCATGGGTGTGGGGGGGGGGGGGGTGTGGGTGGGGGGGGGGGGTAGTCCTCCACCGCCCAACCACTGCCCCACCCCGACAAAATAGAAAAAAATATATTAAATTGTTTAGAAAATACACTCTTAAAACATATTTGTGATAACCAGCACCCCCCACCCCCCCCCCCCCACACACGGAAGTTTCATGCGCCCCTTCCCCGGATTCAAAACATTTGAAAGAAACCCTGCTCAGTTTTGGCAGAGCTACGTGATGTGTTAATTAGTCTGGGTGTGTTATCATGACACGTGTGTAGCAGAAGTTTATTTGTGTAACAACAACACACAGGTGTGTAGAGGATTACACACGTGTTGACACATCAAGATCTACGACGTAACCGTGATAGTGAACATTACTTAACATGGGCTTCAAGAACATGCTGTGTAAATTCATACATCAATTAACATCGACACTTGCCATTAATGGTGGACGTAACGTTTTGATTTATTCACTCGGATCAAACAATTCAAGTGCACCACATTTACAGCAGAACGTAGGCGAAGTCTTCTAAAATTAAACACAGTCGCTTTCGTTTGAATTAGCTGGTTAAATCTAGCTGGTTAAATCTTGTTTGGTGATTACTTTAAACAAGAAGAAGGCGGCAACGTAAAAAATTAAGTAGATAGATTTTTAACTTTTTTTTTTCGTTCACCACAAAACAAAATTCTATTTAGTTTCTAGCTATGTACACATCAGTTTGGATTCTCAAAATATTTTCGGCCATTTGTTCCATTTCGGGAAAAGGTCCTCTCGGCAAGTGTATTTAGTGCAAACTTCCGCATTCAGCAACCTTACAGGAACCATGTGATCAGCGCAAACTTTTTGAGTACTTTGTGCTCATAAGAAACTGTCTTGTAATTCTAAAACCTTCCTGTTACATGGCCGACTAAGAAACAAAAATCAACATTTACATAACCTCCCACCGTATTTATTTAACATTCACAAACACGTATGTAACTAAAACAAAACTATTATTTTTTTTTCTGCTTCCGATTTAAGCAGTAGCCGCCAGCAATATGCCATCTTTTCATAGACACGAAACAGATTCTCTCCCTTGTTTTTTAACTTCACAGTTGTGCCCCTTAGCTATTGATCTCCCGAAAATATTCCCGAAAATTGCCGGAAGTTTCAGCTGAAAAAAACACCAGAAAGTTTAAACGTAATACAAGAAAACACGCAACGTGTCAGATACGGTAATACAACACACACTCCGCGAATTAGACACGGTAATACAGCACACACCGCGTGTAAACTTGAGGCTACAACATGACAAAATCAACAACATTGTTATATGTCAGTTGTGACACTGGCCAGGCGAGACTATCATTGTGAATTGGTGAGACGTTGGTGGATTGGTGAGACGTAGGTTGGTAGATTGGTGAGACGTAGGTTGGTAGATTGGTGAGACGGAGATGGATTGGTGAGACGTAGGTTGGTAGATTGGTGAGACGTAGGTTGGTAGATTGGTGAGACGTAGGTTGGTAGATTGGTGAGACGTAGGTTGGTAGATTGGTGAGACGTAGATTGGTAGATTGGTGAGACGTAGGTTGGTAGATTGGTGAGACGTAGGTTGGTAGATTGGTGAGACGTAGGTTGGTGGATTGGTGAGACGTAGGTTGCTAGATTGGTGAGACGTAGGTTGTTAGATTGGTGAGACGTAGGTTGGTAGACTGGTGAGAGATTGGTGAGACGTAGGTAGGTAGATTGGTGAGACGTAGGTTGGTAGATTGGTGAGACGTAGGTTGGTAGATTGGTGAAACGTAGGTTGGTAGATTGGTGATATGTGTAACCCCTGTCGCTGAGCTTGTTGAGGTAGACATTTTGTCCACAGGTGGTCTACAAGTACAGTTGATAGGGATAAGTGTGACGTACATTTGACAGGTACAGTTGGTAGGTATCATTGTGAGGTATATTGGACAGGTACTTGAGCTATAAAGTTTAGTGGTACTATTGAGAGGAAGAGTTCAATAGTGCACGGACTGTAATGCTGAACAAGGTAAAACCTCTACAGCGTATTCAGATATATCTCATTTTTCTTTTGTTTCAATAGTGCACCAATTGTAATGCTGAGCAAGGTAAAAGTCTCTACAGCATCTTCAAATGTCTCTCATTTTTCTCTAGTCGGCAACAAAGGCAGTTTTCCAATCAGTGACGTCACTGTTCCCAGTTATAAACTGTATTAATTCCCTTTGATCGGCCTCTTTAAGAAAATCTTGATATCTCAAAGTACATCATTTAACTTTTACCTAGAATACAGCACACACATCTCTGAAGTTAACATTTAAGAAAACCGTTTTGATCTTAGTAGATTTAAGTGAAAATCGACAGATTGATTGGGGTTTTCCTTCAATCATCTCCCTTTATGATAGTTTTATTTCGGCTCAATAAGTAAATCGTTTTAATCTCCACTAAAACAAGTTTTAGACCAAAAGGACACGTTGACACCATTCTTACAAGGTAAGCATCTTAGCTGCTCTTTGTAGAAGTGCCAGCTACATAATGTGTGTAGATGTGGGCGTGAAGGGGCAGCTAGTAGCTGACCACGTCTGTAACTGACCACGTCTGTAGCTTACCACGTCTGTAGCTGACCACGTCTGACCACGTCTGTAGCTGACCACGTCTGTAACTGACCATGTCTGTAGCTGACCACGTCTGTTGCTGACCACGTCCGTAGCTGACCACGTCTGTAACTGACCACGTCTGTAGCTGACCACGTCTGTAGCTGACCACGTCCGTAGCTGACCACGTCTGTAACTGACCACGTCTGTAGCTGACCACGTCTGTAGCTGACCACGTCTGTAACTGACCACGTCTGTAGCTGACCACGTCTGTAGCTGACCACGTCTGACCACGTCTGTAGCTGGCCACGTCTGTAGCTGACCACGTCTGTAGCTGACCACGTCTGTAGCTGACCACGTCTGTAGCTGACCACGTCTGTAGCTGACCACGTCTGTAGCTGACCACGTCTGTAGCTGACCACGTCTGTAGCTGACCACGTCTGTAGCTGACCACGTCTGTAGCTGACCACGTCTGTAGCTGACCACGTCTGACGAGGTCTGTAGCTGGCCACGTCTGTAGCTGACCACGTCTGTAGCTGACCACGTCTGTAGCTGACCACGTCTTTAGCTGACCACGTCTGTAGCTGACCAGGTCTGTAGCTGACCACGTCTGTAGCTGACCACGTCTGACCACGTCTGTAGCTGACCACGTCTTTAGCTGACCACGTCTGTCTGTAGCTGACCACGTCTGTAGCTGACCACGTCTGTAGCTGACCACGTCTGTAGCTGACCACGTCTGTAACTGACCACGTCTGTAACTGACCACGTCTGTAGCTGACCACGTCTGTCCGTAGCTGACCACGTCTGACCACGTCTGTAGCTGACCACGTCTGACCACGTCTGTAGCTGACCACGTCTGTAGCTTACCACGTCTGTAGCTGACCACGTCTGTCTGTAGCTGACCACGTCTGACCACGTCTGTAGCTGACCACGTCTGTAGCTGACCACGTCTGACCACGTCTGTAGCTGACCACGTCTGACCACGTCTGTAGCTGGCCACGTCTGTAGCTGACCACGTCTGTAGCTGACCACGTCTGTAGCTGACCACGTCTGTCTGTAGCTGACCACGTCTGTAGCTGACCACGTCTGTCTGTAGCTGGCCACGTCTGTAGCTGACGACGTCTGACCACGTCTGTAGCTGACCACGTCTGTAGCTGACCACGTCTGTAGCTGACCACGTCTGACCACGTCTGTAGCTGACCACGTCTGTAGCTGACCACGTCTGTAGCTGACCACGTCTGTAGCTGACCACGTCTGTAGCTGACCACGTCTGTAGCTGACCACGTCTGTAACTGACCACGTCTGTAGCTGACCACGTCTG